GTATGGAGACTATGCAGCATGTAGTGTACTCAGGTATGGAGACTACGCAGCATAGATTGTACTCAGGTATGGAGACTATGCAGCATGTAGTGTACTCAGGTATGGAGACTATGCAGCATGTAGTGTACTCAGGTATGGAGACTGTGCAGCATAGAGTGTACTCAGGTATGGAGACTGCAGCATGTAGTGTACTCAGGTATGGAGACTATGCAGCATGTAGTGTTCTCAGGTATGGAGACTACACAGCATAGAATGTACTCAGGTATGGAGACTACACACTGTATAGTGTATTAAATGTACGGAGAAGAGAGTATAGTCAACACAGTATCATGTTTGAGAATACTGTACAGCAAATGATTCTTAATAATATTAAAGTCTTGTTGATCCGATACTTGTTAATTCGACAAACAGCTTTATCGGACACTTATAATGGGAACTGATTAAATCAGTGCTATTTAGCCCCGTTAATTAGACAGTCTTGCACTCCAACTCTGACACACCTAATTTGAAACGAATTGTAGAGTACTGAAGATAGTCAGCTTGGTGTGGGAGAAAAGCCCAAAGTGATGCAGGTCTCAGACATTTACCACTTTGTTGAAACCCATGAACACAGGTATGTAGCTGACAAACCTAGAAACATAATCAGTGTGAACCAGAATTCAAACCCACGATCATAGGGTTCTGGATTCTCAAGGGAAGCAACTCCCAATCTGGCGCCTTATACCGGGTGTTAACATTTATTGTTATCTATTCTATGCAGGGTATGTTTGACAGCAAGATAGTCATTGATGTAGTGCCATCACTGATAACTGTTGCAAACTGTGGATGCAGTTTCTTTTTGAAACTATCTCATGGTGAATACATCAGACAATATGACAATATTAATATTCAGAGTTTTATGAACGTAACTTCAAATGATTCTTAATAATATTAAACAAGGATATCGACTACCATATTGCACATTCATTTACCAGTTAGGAATTTGAATCAAATCGTAGCCAGTCATGCGAGTAATCCTGACAGACCTACAGTGTATGTAGGGTACAGTACATAACAGCAAATAGCAGGTAAAATGTACTTAGAGATTACAACTGTATGTCACTCCATCACTAATGCACTAATGTATACGAAGGAAATAACTAACAGTCATTCCTTTGCTGGTTTGTTCTTCAGTGTATGAGGTATGAATTTATAGTGCATAAGGTGTACGTGGATTGCAGTGCAGTTTATGGAATGTACATTGTGCTATACCTGGCAAGACAATGCCCCATACAACCTCTATTGATCTGTGCAAGGACAGTATGTCACAAGCTGGCACACAGATGCAGCCGGAGCTCAAATCTCACAGGGCAACTGAGACAGCTTCTTAATGGCAGCAGGCTGTTCGGGGCAGACTCGGAGACAAGATGCTTATAGGTTTTGAAAAAGAAGAACTAAATAACTTCTAGTTTTCAACATTCACGTGCCGTTCATGTCGTTTCCAGTACAATGTCGTAGCTTATCTTATACTGCTAATTATACACTGACAGAAACTGAAATTGCCTTCATTTAGTCCTGTAATTACAAGTCCTCCCATAATTTCAGATGTTCTTTAGAACATTACGATGTAATAATTGTCACCAGTGTTCCACGTTGCAGGGAGGTATTGGGGTCCTTGAGGTTAGGTGCAATAGTATTGGCATCCCCTTAACCATTAATTTATTATCCCCCTCGTATGTAATGAAGGGGGATATAGTTGGCGTCCGTCTGCTGTCCGTCCGTAATCTAAACCGTTCAATATTTTTCAACAAAAATTGGCAGATATATCAAACAGATCCTGAAGTGGTGCCTTCTGCTATTTATGGATTTTTGGCATTTTATTTTTCTCTATTTTCATGGAAACAATTTGTACTTTGTCTTATAAGGTAGTCAAATTTGTTTCTGGAGCACAACTATAAAAATGTTCAATTTCATTAAAAATAACGTGGCAGATATATCAAACAGATCCTGAAGTGGTGCCTTTTGCTATTTGTGAATTTCTGGCCTTTTTATTTTTCTTAATTTCCATGGAAACAATTTGGACTTATTATTGTCACAAACAGAGAAAAGGTAGCCCTATTATTGTCACAAACAGAGAATAGGTAGCCTTGTTATTGTCACATACCAAGAATAGATAGCCTTGTTATTGTCATGCTATCATCCATATGTGTATATGCACTCCCTTTCACCTCTCATTGGGGAAGCATTTTGACATTATTTATGTCAGAGTAAGGTGAGGCAGATGCATACGTGAAAAATGTAAATGAGAAATACCATCTTTGCAGAATTTCTGCACATCTGCATTCCTATAAGTCTGGAAAAGTTTAAGAAAAACAAATAAACATGTTATAAGGACTAGGAAGGAGCTCAGAGCATGTCCAACAGGGAATTCAAGTAACCCTTTGATTTCCTCAAAAACAGTCTTTGTAGACATGGTTGTGTGGAGCTAGGTAAGTCATACTATATCACTGTATACATGGTTGTGTGGAGCGAGGCTGTCAGCCACTACCTATATCACTGTAGACATGGTTGTGTGGAGCTAGGCTGTCAGCCACTACCTATATCTTTGTAGACATGGTTGTTTTGAGCTAGGCTGTCAGCCACTACCTATATCTCTGTAGACATGGTTGTGTGGAGCTAGGCTGTCAGCCACTACCTATATCTCTGTAGACATGGTTGTGTGGAGCTAGGCTGTCAGCCACTACCTATATCTCTGTAGACATGGTTGTGTGGAGCTAGGCTGTCAGCCACTACCTATATCTCTGTAGACATGGTTGTGTGGAGCTAGGCTGTCAGCCACTACCTATATCTCTGTAGACATGGTTGTGTGGAGCTAGACTGTCAGCCACTACCTATATCTCTGTAGACATGGTTGTGTGGAGCTAGGCTGTCAGCCACTACCTATATCTCTGTAGACATGGTTGTGTGTAACTAGGCTGTCAGCCACTACCTATATCTCTGTAGACATGGTTGTGTGTAACTAGGCTGTCAGCCACTACCTATATCACTGTAGACATGGTTGTGTGGAGCTAGGCTGTCAGCCACTACCTATATCTCTGTAGACATAGTTGTGTGTAACTAGGCTGTCAGCCACTACCTATATCTCTGTAGACATGGTTGTGTGTAACTAGGCTGTCAGCCACTACCTATATCACTGTAGACATGGTTGTGTGGAGCTAGGCTGTCAGCCACTACCTATATCTCTGGAGACATGGTTGTGTGGAGCTAGGCTGTCAGCCACTACCTATATCACTGTAGACATAGTTGTGTGGAGCTAGGCTGTCAGCCACTACCTATATCACTGTAGACATAGTTGTGTGGAGCTAGGCTGTCAGCCACTACCTATATCTCTGTAGACATGGTTGTGTGGAGCTAGGCTGTCAGCCACTACCTATATCTCTGGAGACATGGTTGTGTGGAGCTAGGCTGTCAGCCACTACCTATATCTCTGTAGACATGGTTGTGTGGAGCTAGGCTGTCAGCCACTACCTATATCTCTGTAGACATAGTTGTGTGGAGCTAGGCTGTCAGCCACTACCTATATCTCTGTAGACATGGTTGTGTGGAGCTAGGCTGTCAGCCACTACCTATATCTCTGTAGACATGGTTGTGTGGAGCTAGACTGTCAGCCACTACCTATATCACTGTAGACATGGTTGTGTGGAGCTAGGCTGTCAGCCACTACCTATATCTCTGTAGACATGGTTGTGTGGAGCTAGGCTGTCAGCCACTACCTATATCTCTGTAGACATGGTTGTGTGGAGCTAGGCTGTCAGCCACTACCTATATCTCTGTAGACATGGTTGTGTGGAGCTAGGCTGTCAGCCACTACCTATATCTCTGTAGACATGGTTGTGTGGAGCTAGGCTGTCAGACACTATATCTCTGTAGACTTGGTTATGTGGAGCTAGGCTGTCAGCCACTACCTATATCTCTGTAAACATGGTTGTGTGGATCTAGGCTGTCAGCCACTACCTATATCTCTGTAGACATGGTTGTGTGGAGCTAGGCTGTCAGCCACTACCTATATCTCTGTAGACATGGTTGTGTGGAGCTAGGCTGTCAGCCACTACCTATATTACTGTAGACATGGTTGTGTGGAGCTAGGCTGTCAGCCACTACCTATATTACTGTAGACATGGTTGTGTGGAGCTAGGCTGTCAGCCACTACCTATATCACTGTAGACATGGTTGTGTGGAGCTAGGCTGTCAGCCACTACCTATATTACTGTAGACATGGTTGTGTGGAGCTAGGCTGTCAGCCACTACCTATATCTCTGTAGACATGGTTGTGTGGAGCTAGGCTGTCAGCCACTACCTATATCTCTGTAGACATAGTTGTGTGGTACAGAGGCTGCCATGGGGGTCCTGCTAATCTCGGAAATGTTATTAACGCTACATATTTATGAGCTCTGACTCACTAAGAGTTACTTCAGAACTAGACAAGCCAATATCACAAATAGGAACCAAGAAGTATTGCTCTGTATTTACAACAGTATGCCCATCAGTACTTAGATTTACATAGAGGAGCTCTGTTTGATGTGTGGTTGGAGGTATCCCTTCCTGGGAGTACATCACCTCAGTGTCACTAGATTATGAAGCTACAGTAGAATAAGGAACAGATCGGCCCTATCCCAGAGCACAGGTCCAGAGAAAGGATGTATTTACATATTTTCCCTGACAGAAGAGAAGTAAAACAGAAATGACTTGTCACTTTTATCTCCATGTGACAGAAATCTGTGATGAATTGTCCAGTTATTACATTTCATTTATTTGTAAATGATCTGTTCAAAGGGAAACATCCTTCAGTGTGATGAATGTAGTTATTATGGTATTTCATGTTCTATTCTGTGCAGTGTCTGTGGTATTGATCTGCAGGAGTGTAGCTGCTGCGGCTGTAGTCACTGTGTGGCTGGGGATACCGGGGCCTCGCTGGCCCTCCGCGATGACTCACGTATCACAATGTTAATTTTTACTTCCAGACTGGAGAGTGGAATGTGACTCACAGCTGGATACCATATCGCCTGTGGAAATACGTTTTGGTGGAATTCCGTGAAAACGACCTTGGACGTCATTGTGACCTTGACATGTTTTATCCCATCAAAAATGGAATATGACTTTAATTGTCATGGCAACTAGCTGTAACACATAGAAGGTAGGTGTCTTATTTCTACAGCTGTTATGTAATAGGCTTTAAACATATTGAATCACATTACTTATGTTATATTTAATAAAGATATGTACATATTGCATTATTGTGTATCTATTTTTCTAAGTAGCATGTGATATATAGAGAGACCTCATGAGGTAACATTACTGTCGGTCATAAGGTCTCTTTACACATGGGAAATCTCATTATAACAATGGTGGGGGGGGGGTTCATGAAGCATGACTCAATTCTTTACAGGTAGGTGTGATGTTGCTGAAATATTGCATTTCACACACGGACAGATCTCACGAGGCACTTGATTAATTAACTCCTGAGACATAAAAAGATCCCATGAGACATCCTTGACATTTAGATTTCTCATAAGACATTTCAGACATTGAGAGATCTAATGAGACAGCCATGACATCATGAGATCTCATGTGACATCCTTGTCATTGAGGGATGTCATGAGACATCCAAGACATCGTGAGATGTCATAAGACATCCCTGACATCTTGAGATCTCATGAGACATCCCTGTCATTGAGGGATTATTCCAGCTATATGACAGTGGTCTGTAAATAATTGAGTCTGGACCAATCAATCCAGTGATTGATATTATGAGCACTGTTCCACACAATTGGGATCAAAGACATGCATCAACCAAGTCAGCGAGCCTGACCATCCAATCCCGTTAGTCGCCTCTTACGACAAGCCTAGTCACCTTTTACAGCAAGCATGAGGCATCCTTGACATCATGAGATCTCATGAGACATCCCTGACACTGAGAGATTGCATGAGACATCCATGACACTGAGAGATTGCATGAGACATCCATGACACTGAAGGATGTCGTGAGACATACCCGACATTGAGAGATCTCATGAGACATCCCTGACACTGAGAGATCTCTTGAGACATCCATAACATTGATCTCATGAGACATGTGCAGTAATTGGGAAATGTCATTATACATACCAACAATGTTAACAATGTGGCAATATGCTTAGAAGTGGAGCGTAAATGCAGCTTTTTATAATATGATCTAGATCTATTTATTACATTGGGGTAATAGCCTATCAGTATCACTGAATGAATGTATGTCAGTATCAGAGTCAATATTTGCAATAATGGTTGCAACAGCTGGTGGAAGGAGGTCATTCATGTGCACCCTGACTGATCCAATGTTAAAGGTTGTAGGGAAAGGTTGTAGGGAAATATTTTGAACTACTTGAAATCATAAAATTAATGCCAAAATTTCAAGTGCCCCTCACTTACATTAATAAGGTATTGATTTTTACCTGGCATTGATTTTTACCTGGCCTTAATCAATACTTGAAGACTATCGACATTTCAGACTTACTTTACATACAATGAAACAGTGAAATATGGCTCATAATTACGTCTTAGAGTTAATGTTTCTCACTGGATGCTCTGGCATGTCAGGTTGTGATTTGAGGATCATTGACACAACAGCTGGATATGACGTTTTGTCCTTGGGAAAAATGTCAAATATTCTCATTTAGCAGAAGTTTAGTTGTGACCAAATTAAGCAGTATTATTCAAAGTGCTCCATATTATATAGGTATTTTAAGTCTACAATTTCGTTGCTGTTGAGTGCAGATTATATGAGGTGGGTTTTTTCACTGTCAAATGTACATGATGTAGATCTACTCTCATGAATTTTATGCCACATTTTTGGCAAGGGTCAGCATCAATTTATTGTCATGATTTCTAATGTAAGATTACTATGAATGACAGCGTTGAAGCTGCCATTACTTACTGGAGTGTAAAGTGTCTGCATGTAAACTACAATGGGACAGTTCGTAGCTTTGCAATTACCACCATCAAATCCCAGCTGTTACTGGGATAATATTTCACAGTATGACTAGTTAGGGATACAAAGGAAGTTCATGCATTTTTGGGGCATTACTAGAATTTGTTAAACTTTTCATGCATGCAATTTTTCCCAGCACACAAATTTTGGCAATTAGATTTTCAAATTTCCATTTTTCTTCATGTTCTTTGCTCAAATGCCAAGAAAAGACTGATTGAATATGTTTCCAAAGCAAAGCATTGAAACATTTTAACATTTTCATGAAGCATTGCATATATTGACATTTGGTAATGTTTGTATGTTTCTGGAACCTGAATCAAATACTGTTCATATCTTCATGGCATGTGGTATCCATATTGACCATGTGGTATAGTGGTGCCTTTTGACATTATGCATTTGATGGGTTGAAAAACAACATAAAATTTGAGTTATAAGTGTTGGGATTGTTTCTTCCAAACGTTCAAGAGGTCTTTATGAAACATAGCACATGCCCCCTACAACTTTGTGATTTAGTATCACCTTTTGACCTTTTCAGTTTTTTCACATTTTCTATATCTTGCATTCCCATGGATGTGATTGAAACAAGCACAAATAATACTTGGTGAAGATTGAAGTAATCTTATACATATATGTCAGAATCTTACAGAGGCAATTGAAGAATTAATTGCACCTAAGTAAAGAGAGTCTATAGAGTGAGGGTCTTCATTGGAATTGGCTTTTGGCTAATTTCCGGAAAAGGTCAAGGTCACCATGGCAGTTCACTATGCTACCGAACTTCACAACATCCACTTTTGGTCATCACATTAAAGGGTTTTTTCTATCTGTAATGAATAAGTTTTTGTACTTTTATAATTATTTGTAGCCTAGTGGTTACAGCATTTTTTCGTCATGCCAAAGGTCCGGGTTCGATTCCCCACATGGTTACATTTCTGGTGTACCCATCAATGATGTTGCTGGAATATTGCGAAAAGCAGCGTTAAATCCAATTCACTTCTGTTTGCCAACAGGGGTGTGAGTGGCCCATTCTGTTAGTGCCGGAAGTTGATGTGCATAGTTTTGTCCGCTATATTATCGGGGGATTGAATACCAGAACTGCCCTAATGATGTATCTAGGGTTATAGCACCATGCCATGCTAGAAGGTTTCACCAAAATGGTAAACATCTTAGACTGGCTATATGAGATAGAATTACTGTATATATGTATAAGTATTGGCTGTTGTATTCCAGTGCTCCTGTTGGTATTTGGTTTCTGGTGGTTGAGATCAAGAAGCCAACCCAGATTAGAATTTATAAGTTTTCCCCTTCCACTTGTGATGCCTGTCCGTCTCTACAGAAGCAGGTGTTAAAGTGTTTTGTGTTGCAAATTTCAGGTTCACCATGGAATCAGTGTTGGGGCGGCTGAGGACCGGATCCAAATCCAAGAAAACCCTTTCACAAGCTCCTTCCAAGGATGATATTCTGAATGCCATAGATACCTTTGATAAAAATGGTGAGTTACCAAGTGACATAGCACAAGTTAATCTCCACTCAATCAAACAGCTGTTGTTCTAATTCATTGTCAAATTAAACATGTCGGTAAGATAAATTTGGTGTAGCAGGATAACTCAGACGTTGGCCGTAGGCGAGTGGTATAAAACCTAATGGGGAATGCATAAAACCCCATGCTACAACTTATAGTGCTCTATACCCTGTATGACCAAAATGAACCTGTATCATGTCCAGTAGGACCAATGGCTACCTGTGTAAGTTTTGTGTATGTTGTGTAGCCAGTATACAAGTAACAGATGATTGTATTGAGTGATGTCTGTAATATCTCAGATGAAGATACAAGATTCTGATGCACAACCTACAATATTACACTCGTGTGTTGACAGGAAGTGGCTCAGAGGACAACAACAACCTGGTCCGCAAGAGCAGCGTGGAGAGCGGAGATGGACGATTTGAAGGTCCTGACGAGCTGGACTCCCCCAGTGTGAGCTATTCCCACTCCTACAGGTGCGTCCCACTAGGAGCAGGTACCCTACATACTTCACAGGGGAGAAAAGCCCTGAATACACCACTGGGTGCAGATGCCTTTATACATCACTGGGTAGATATACCCTGAATACACCACCAGGTGCAGATACCTTTATACATCACTGGGTAGATATACCCTGAATACACCACAAGGTACAAATACCTTTATACTTCACTGGCTAGATATATCCTGAAGACACCACCGGGTACAAATACCTTTATATATCATTGGCTAGATATACCCTGAATACACCACCGGGTACAAATACCTTTATACTTTACTGGCTAGATATACCCTGAATAAAGCATAGGGTACTATACAAATATCTTTATACTTCGCTGCGTAGATATATCCTGAATACACCACCGGGTACAAATATCTTTATACTTCACTTGCTAGATATACCCTGAAAACAACACCGAGTACAAATACCTTAATACTTCACTGGGTAGATATACCCTGAATATAGCACAGGGTACAAATATCTTTATGCTTCACTGGCTAGATATACCCTGAATACATCACCTGGTACAAATACCTTTATACATCATTGGCTAGATATACCCTGAATACACCACCAGGTACAAATACCTTTATACTTCACTGGCTAGATTTACCCTGAATATAGCACCGGGTACAAATATCTTGCATACACCACTGGAAACAGATACCCTTTGTTCATCACTGAGTACGGATAATTTGCAAACACCACTGGGTACAAATACCCTGTAAAGACCTATAGATCAGACACCCTACGACACATGTATACCTTTTGATCAGACACCATAAGACACAGGCAACAGGTACATCCTAGACTTCAGGCTTGACAGGTAGTGTTGTCCATTCGTTGCAAGAAGGATGCTGGATGTTGCAGGGGTATTGAGCCACCTGTACAGACTGACTGGATGTGGACTGTGATAAGGGAGGGGTCCAAGTATAGGTATGACAAACAAGCCGGTCTCCACCCTTGAAGCACCTCCTTGAACACATACAGGCACACATGCTTTCAATTTCCCCAATTCTGCAAATACATATCTGATCTGATACGTCCACGTGATCTTGATAAAATATGATGTATCCCGCATTGGAGGGGCATAAATTTCTCAGGGGGGCAAATAAATCCCTTATACCCCGCCATGATGAAAACAGGGTGCACATGATTTTCCGAGCAGCTAAATAAATCCCTTATATACCTCTTCAAAGCAAAAAGCTGCACGCTTTTTCAGAGTCAATGGAAATCACATGACGTAGCGCAGGTTAACCTCAGCTCAATCAAACAGCTGTTTTCTATCAATCTTGAATATGTTACAATGTCATAAGTCACATGTCGGTAAAATAAATTCATTGTAGCAGTATCACTCAGTGCATGTAGGTTTTATACATCCCTCATTACTTATATTATTCCACTAGTAGATAAAGTAGGGAACATGCTCTATTATTCCATGGTCATGAGAGGCATTTTGCTATGATTTGTTATCCAATGTGATACAGGAGGTTGAGTTACTACATCTTATGTTTAACATTGCAGTAAGCTTACCACCTCAATATCTCCCTCCTCCCAACATATGTGTCCACACACATCGCCCTTCCCCTAACACACCAAGCAGCAACTTCCAGTTTACCACCACAATCACTGCAACACTCCAGTGGGCCTGACTCCAAGGAACCTCATCCCGGCTAATCCCTAATGGTATCTGCTTATAGACTGTTTTCACACTCTCACTGTTTGCGTGCACTGGTAAATCAAGGAATTGAACATTCCTGATCATGTATTTTGATAGTTCTTTAGAGTACAAGTTTAAACAACCTGTCCTATCAACACCAGTATCAAAACTTTACTGGTGTATGTTAATGTATGTTAACTTTCTATGAACAGTGGTGAGAATATTCCGCTGTTCCGCAAATATTAGTTACCACAAATTTGTTAAAATCTCATGGCTTCCCCATAAACACTTCCATATTATGGACCACGCTCCATTGCAAAGAAGTTTCAGCTGAAAAGGAAAATATCCATTCTCATCCCTGTATGAATGTCTCTAAAGCATACACTTCCTGAGGTTGTCCCATGATTAGCTCACCTTGGAAATGTCAACGTAAGCATATGACTTACAGTATATCTGTCCACTCCAATTGTCTTTTTTCCAATAGTGCACAGCATATCAGAGTATAGTCAATAGGATTTATTCTGAAAAGGCATCTGCTACTAGAAACAGGGTTTTCTAGAATTCAATATTATCAATGCTTGACCCAAATTCACAGTACAATGTCATGCTCAGAGAATAACCAAGGCGCTACGAAGAATGACCGGTACTGATTATAGTGAATAGTTGGTGTTAATCCTGAGTCTTTGGTGAGTGACTTACAGCATTCATTCACCAGGGACAGATAATTCATAATTTCTAGTTGTGAGTAGGTTGATCTAAATTCTCTGATCATTTTAGAGAGAAAATGAAGAAAAATCGTACAGAATATTAACCCTACAGATAAACTTCGCTGTAGGCAGCTGTTATTCAGGTGAACGAATTTGTGACATCATGAACAATGGATGACGTTAATTATATTTTTCCCAACAGCTTCAATTGACCAAGCAGCATTGAGATTTGCTAAAAATGGCTTTTGCAAATATCGGAAAGTTGATGTAAAATCCAAGCTTATAATTCTACCCTGATGGGTAATACAAACTAAATCATCACCTGATTAGACCCTGGTGTGATGACTTCAGTAATAGTTTAGTCATGATGATTATTGAAGTAGATAACCTAGAATAACACAATGACATTACATGAAGCTTAATAGAAACCCATTCTGTGTGAATATGTGAGCCATGACTGACTCATTTGTAGTCTTTGTGTCATCCCATGGTTTGTGTTGTGTAATGACTCGGAATAATTCACACCTGCATCACTTTCTACTGGACACTGAATTGGTCAATAGGCCCTATAGACTGCTACACTGTCTGTCAAATGTGTGACTTGCTTATTGTGAAAGTCATTGTCGTTTATCGGGCACAATGGTTAATTGATGTTATCAGTGGATGAGAGTGACGCAAGGGGTCTCCGTGTGGGAATCTCACATAGGGGTCAAGTGGACACTGAGATAATGTCTCTACAATCTGTTGTCAAGTGGGAATAACACATTCCATATCAGATGCCACGATATGACATTAACAGTCTGGTGCCAGGTAGGAATAACACATTCAATATCAGATGTCACTATGTGACATATCTGGTCTGTTGCCAGGTGGGAATAACACATTCAATATCAGATGTCACTATGATACATACGGTCTATTGTCAGGTAGGAATAGCACATTCAATATCAGATGTCACTATGCGACATATCTGGTCTGTTGCCAGGTGGGAATAACACATTCAATATCAGAAGTCACTATGCGACATATCTGGTCTGTTGCCAGGTGGGAATAACACATTCAATATCAGATGTCACTATGTGACATATCTGGTCTGTTGCCAGGTGGGAATAACACATTCAATATCAGATGTCACTATGTGACATATGGTCTATTGTCAGGTAGGAATAACACATTCAATATCAGATGTCACTATGCGACATATCTGGTCTGTTGCCAGGTGGGAATAACACATTCAATATCAGATGTCACTATGTGACTTTTATAGTGTGTTGCCAGGTAGGAATAACACATTCAATATCAGATGTCACTATGCGACATATCTGGTCTGTTGTCAGGTGGGAATAACACAGTCAATATCAGATGTCACTATGTGACATATCTGGTCTGTTGTCAGGTGGGAACAACACAGTCAATATCAGATGTCACTATGTGACTTTTATGGTCTGTTGCCAGGTGGGAATAACACATTCAATATCAGATGTCACTATGTGACTTTTATGGTCTGTTGTCGGGTGGGAATAACACAGTCAATATCAGATGTCACTATGTGACATATCTGGTCTGTTGTCAGGTGGGAATAACACAGTCAATATCAGATGTCACTATGTGACTTTTATGGTCTGTTGTCAGGTGGTAATAACACAGTCAATATCAGATGTCACTATGTGACTTTTATGGTCTGTTGTCAGGTGGTAATAACACAGTCAATATCAGATGTCACTATGTGACATATCTGGTCTGTTGTCAGGTGGGAATAACACAGTCAATATCAGATGTCACTATGTGACTTTTATGGTCTGTTGCAAGGTGGGAATAACACAGTCAATATCAGATGTCACTATGTAACTTTTATGGTCTATTGTCAGGTGGGAATAACACAGTCAATATCAGATGTCACTATGTGACATATCTGGTCTGTTGTCAGGTGGGAATAACACAGTCAATATCAGATGTCACTATGTGACTTTTATGGTCTGTTGTCAGGTGGGAATAACACAGTCAATATCAGATGTCACTATGCGACATATCTGGTCTGTTGCCAGGTGGGAATAACACATTCAATATCAGAAGTCACTATGCGACATATCTGGTCTGTTGCCAGGTGGGAATAACACATTCAATATCAGATGTCACTATGTGACTTTTATAGTGTGTTGCCAGGTGGGAATAACACAGTCAATATCAGATGTCACTATGTGACTTTTATGGTCTGTTGTCAGGTGGGAATAACACAGTCAATATAAGATGTCACTATGTGACTTTTATGGTCTGTTGCCAGGTGGGAATAACACAGTCAATATCAGATGTCACTATGTGACTTTTATGGTCTGTTGTCAGGTGGGAATAACACAGTCAATATCAGATGTCACTATGTGACTTTTATGGTCTGTTGCCAGGTGGGAATAACACAGTCAATATCAGATGTCACTATGTGACATATCTGGTCTGTTGTCAGGTGGGAATAACACATTCAATATCAGATGTCACTATGTGACTTTTATGGTCTGTTGCCAGGTGGGAATAACACATTCAATATCAGATGTCACTATGTAACTTTTATGGTCTGTTGTCAGGTGGGAATAACACAGTCAATATCAGATGTCACTATGTGACATATCTGGTCTGTTGTCAGGTGGGAATAACACAGTCAATATCAGATGTCACTATGTGACTTTTATGGTCTGTTGTCAGGTGGTAATAACACAGTCAATATCAGATGTCACTGTGTGACTTTTATGGTCTGTTGTCAGGTGGTAATAACACAGTCAATATCAGATGTCACTATGTGACATATCTGGTCTGTTGTCAGGTGGGAATAACACAGTCAATATCAGATGTCACTATGTGACTTTTATGGTCTGTTGCAAGGTGGGAATAACACAGTCAATATCAGATGTCACTATGTAACTTTTATGGTCTATTGTCAGGTGGGAATAACACAGTCAATATCAGATGTCACTATGTGACATATCTGGTCTGTTGTCAGGTGGGAATAACACAGTCAATATCAGATGTCACTATGTGACTTTTATGGTCTGTTGTCAGGTGGGAATAACACAGTCAATATCAGATGTCACTATGCGACATATCTGGTCTGTTGCCAGGTGGGAATAACACATTCAATATCAGAAGTCACTATGCGACATATCTGGTCTGTTGCCAGGTGGGAATAACACATTCAATATCAGATGTCACTATGTGACTTTTATAGTGTGTTGCCAGGTGGGAATAACACAGTCAATATCAGATGTCACTATGTGACTTTTATGGTCTGTTGTCAGGTGGGAATAACACAGTCAATATAAGATGTCACTATGTGACTTTTATGGTCTGTTGCCAGGTGGGAATAACACAGTCAATATCAGATGTCACTATGTGACTTTTATGGTCTGTTGTCAGGTGGGAATAACACAGTCAATATCAGATGTCACTATGTGACTTTTATGGTCTGTTGCCAGGTGGGAATAACACAGTCAATATCAGATGTCACTATGTGACATATCTGGTCTGTTGTCAGGTGGGAATAACACAGTCAATATCAGATGTCACTATGTGACTTTTATGGTCTGTTGTCAGGTGGGAATAACACAGTCAATATCAGATGTCACTATGCGACATATCTGGTCTGTTGCCAGGTGGGAATAACACATTCAATATCAGAAGTCACTATGCGACATATCTGGTCTGTTGCCAGGTGGGAATAACACATTCAATATCAGATGTCACTATGTGACTTTTATAGTGTGTTGCCAGGTGGGAATAACACAGTCAATATCAGATGTCACTATGTGACTTTTATGGTCTGTTGTCAGGTGGGAATAACACAGTCAATATAAGATGTCACTATGTGACTTTTATGGTCTGTTGCCAGGTGGGAATAACACAGTCAATATCAGATGTCACTATGTGACTTTTATGGTCTGTTGTCAGGTGGGAATAACACAGTCAATATCAGATGTCACTATGTGACTTTTATGGTCTGTTGCCAGGTGGGAATAACACAGTCAATATCAGATGTCACTATGTGACATATCTGGTCTGTTGTCAGGTGGGAATAACACATTCAATATCAGATGTCACTATGTGACTTTTATAGTGTGTTGCCAGGTGGGAATAACACATTCAATATCAGATGTCACTATGTAACTTTTATGGTCTGTTGTCAGGTGGGAATAACACAGTCAATATCAGATGTCACTATGTGACATATCTGGTCTGTTGTCAGGTGGGAATAACACAGTCAATATCAGATGTCACTATGTGACTTTTATGGTCTGTTGTCAGGTGGTAATAACACAGTCAATATCAGATGTCACTGTGTGACTTTTATGGTCTGTTGTCAGGTGGTAATAACACAGTCAATATCAGATGTCACTATGTGACATATCTGGTCTGTTGTCAGGTGGGAATAACACAGTCAATATCAGATGTCACTATGTGACTTTTATGGTCTGTTGCAAGGTGGGAATAACACAGTCAATATCAGATGTCACTATGTAACTTTTATGGTCTATTGTCAGGTGGGAATAACACAGTCAATATCAGATGTCACTATGTGACATATCTGGTCTGTTGTCAGGTGGGAATAACACAGTCAATATCAGATGTCACTATGTGACTTTTATGGTCTGTTGTCAGGTGGGAATAACACAGTCAATATCAGATGTCACTATGCGACATATCTGGTCTGTTGCCAGGTGGGAATAACACATTCAATATCAGAAGTCACTATGCGACATATCTGGTCTGTTGCCAGGTGGGAATAACACATTCAATATCAGATGTCACTATGTGACTTTTATAGTGTGTTGCCAGGTGGGAATAACACAGTCAATATCAGATGTCACTATGTGACTTTTATGGTCTGTTGTCAGGTGGGAATAACACAGTCAATATAAGATGTCACTATGTGACTTTTATGGTCTGTTGCCAGGTGGGAATAACACAGTCAATATCAGATGTCACTATGTGACTTTTATGGTCTGTTGTCAGGTGGGAATAACACAGTCAATATCAGATGTCACTATGTGACTTTTATGGTCTGTTGCCAGGTGGGAATAACACAGTCAATATCAGATGTCACTATGCGACATATCTGGTCTGTTGTCAGGTGGGAATAACACATTCAATATCAGATGTCACTATGCGACATATCTGGTCTGTTGCCAGGTGGGAATAACACATTCAATATCAGATGTCACTATGCGACATATCTGGTCTGTTGTCAGGTAGGAATAACACATTCAATATCAGATGTCACTATGCGACATATCTGGTCTGTTGCCAGGTGGGAATAACACATTCAATATCAGATGTCACTATGCGACATATCTGGTCTGTTGTCAGGTGGGAATAACACAGTCAATATCAGATGTCACTATGTGACTTTTATAGTGTGTTGCCAGGTGGGAATAACACAGTCAATATCAGATGTCACTATGTGACTTTTATGGTCTGTTGTCAGGTGGGAATAACACAGTCAATATAAGATGTCACTATGTGACTTTTATGTTCTGTTGCCAGGTGGGAATAACACAGTCAATATCAGATGTCACTATGTGACATATCTGGTCTGTTGTCAGTTGGGAATAACACAGTCAATATCAGATGTCACTATGTGACTTTTATGGTCTGTTGCCAGGTGGGAATAACACAGTCAATATCAGATGTCACTATGTGACATATCTGGTCTGTTGTCAGGTGGGAATAACACAGTCAATATCAGATGTCACTATGTGACTTTTATAGTGTGTTGCCAGGTGGGAATAACACAGTCAATATCAGATGTCACTATGTGACTTTTATGGTCTGTTGTCAGGTGGGAATAACACAGTCAATATCAGATGTCACTATGTGACATATCTGGTCTGTTGTCAGGTGGGAATAACACAGTCAATATCAGATGTCACTATGTGACTTTTATGGTCTGTTGCCAGGTGGGAATAACACAGTCAATATCAGATGTCACTATGTGACTTTTATGGTCTGTTGTCAGGTGGGAATAACACAGTCAATATCAGATGTCACTATGTGACATATCTGGTCTGTTGTCAGGTGGGAATAACACAGTCAATATCAGATGTCACTATGTGACTTTTATGGTCTGTTGCCAGGTGGGAATAACACAGTCAATATCAGATGTCACTATGTGACTTTTATGGTCTGTTGTCGGGTGGGAATAACACAGTCAATATCAGATGTCACTATGTGACATATCTGGTCTGTTGTCAGGTGGGAATAACACAGTCAATATCAGATGTCACTATGTGACTTTTATGGTCTGTTGCCAGGTGGGAATAACACAGTCAATATCAGATGTCACTATGTGACATATCTGGTCTGTTGTCAGGTGGGAATAACACAGTCAATATCAGATGTCACTATGTGACTTTTATGGTCTGTTGCCAGGTGGGAATAACACAGTCAATATCAGATGTCACTATGTAACTTTTATGGTCTGTTGTCAGGTGGGAATAACACAGTCAATATCAGATGTCACTATGTGACATATCTGGTCTGTTGTCAGGTGGGAATAACACAGTCAATATCAGATGTCACTATGTGACTTTTATGGTCTGTTGTCAGGTGGGAATAACACAGTCAATATCAGATGTCACTATGTGACATATCTGGTCTGTTGTCAGGTGGTAATAACACAGTCAATATCAGATGTCACTGTGTGACTTTTATGGTCTGTTGCCAGGTGGTAATAACACAGTCAATATCAGATGTCACTGTGTGACTTTTATGGTCTGTTGCCAGGTGGGAATAACACAGTCAATATCAGATGTCACTATGTGACTTTTATGGTCTGTTGCCAGGTGGGAATAACACAGTCAATATCAGATGTCACTATGTGACTTTTATGGTCTGTTGTCAGGTGGGATTAACACAGTCAATATCAGATGTCACTATGTGACTTTTATGGTCTGTTGTCAGGTGGGAATAACACAGTCAATATCAGATTGGATTTCTATGTAACATTTACCTGTTCTTTCAACATGCATTATGTTGTTACAGTTGATTCTGAGCCAGGAATTCACTGTAGACAATGACCTTCGTCAGGGTAGTTTCATAATTTGAAGGTAGACATTGACCATCAGGGTAGTTTCATCATTTGAAGGTAAACAATGACCTTTAGAATACTTTCATAATTTGAATATAATCAGTGACCTACAGGAAAGATCCATTATTTGAAGGAAGACAATGTCCTTCTTCACAGAAGTTCAATCATTGGAAGGTAGACAATGTCCTTCTTCACAGAAGTTCAATCATTGGAAGGTAGACCATGATCTTCAGGATAGTTCCATCATTTAAAGGTAGACAATGTCCTTCTTCACAGAAGTTCAATCATTGGAAGGTAGACAATGTCCTTCTTCACAGAAGTTCAATCATTGGAAGGTAGACAATGTCCTTCTTCACAGAAGTTCAATCATTTGAAGGTAAACAATGACCTTTAGAATACTTTCATAATTTGAATATAATCAGTGACCTACAGGAAAGATCCATTATTTGAAGGAAGACAATGTCCTTCTTCACAGAAGTTCAATCATTGGAAGGTAGACAATGTCCTTCTTCACAGAAGTTCAATCATTGGAAGGTAGACCATGATCTTCAGGATAGTTCCATCATTTAAAGGTAGACAATGTCCTTCTTCACAGAAGTTCAATCATTGGAAGGTAGACAATGTCCTTCTTCACAGAAGTTCAATCATTGGAAGGTAGACAATGTCCTTCTTCACAGAAGTTCAATCATTGGAAGTAGACCATGATCTTCAGGATAGTTCCATCATTGGAAGGTAGACAATGTCCTTCTTCACAGAAGTTCAATCATTAGAAGGTAGACAATGTCCTTCTTCACAGAAGTTCAATCATTGGAAGGTAGACCATGATCTTCAGGATAGTTCCATCATTTAAAGGTAGACAATGTCCTTCTTCACAGAAGTTCAATCATTGGAAGGTAGACAATGTCCTTCTTCACAGAAGTTCAATCATTGGAAGTAGACCATGATCTTCAGGATAGTTCCATCATTTAAAGGTAGACAATGTCCTTCTTCACAGAAGTTCAATCATTGGAAGGTAGACAATGTCCTTCTTCACAGAAGTTCAATCATTGGAAGTAGACCATGATCTTCAGGATAGTTCCATCATTTAAAGGTAGACAATGTCCTTCTTCACAGAAGTTCAATCATTGGAAGGTAGACCATGATCTTCAGGATAGTTCCATCATTTAAAGGTAGACAATGTCCTTCTTCACAGAAGTTCAATCACTTGAAGGTAGACAATGACCTTCTCCAAGGTAGTTTAATCATTTGAAGGTAGACAACACTCTTTACAAGGGTAGAGTTTTAGCAGTAGACATGCTTGTCATATATGAGATGACTGTTTCAGTGCTGAGTGGGAGCGTCTGTTCAACACTCCAGGCTACTTGCTTAAGTTGAAGAAACACGGTATAGAAGGCCGATTACGCAGCAGCAGGTTCCGAAGTGTTGTCTGGAAGGTACGTTGTTGTTGTCATATCCACACCAGTGTTCCTAATGACATTACAGAAACTAGTAATCTCTTTTTCCATCAGTATCATTTTGTTAATCAGATGAATTAAAAAGATCAGAATCATTTCTGTAAATCATGAATGAAACATTATTGCACCGTTGTCCTTAATTCATCTATATTTGTGTTTAATAGTTAGATATGCGTGACATGTATCATACTATGCGACCAGCTTTACTGGTCTGATGTGGGCGATGTTGTGCAGGTGTACCTGGAGGTGTTGCCGGATGACATTAGCCAATGGCTGAAGGTGTGCCAGGACTGGAGGAACAAGTACGAGGTCCTCAAGAACCAGGTCAGCTGTGGACATTGTAGATAGGACCCTTGAAGATCAGGGGTAGAATAGGTCTTCAGCAACCCATGCTTGCCATAAAAGGCAACTATGCCTGTCGTAAGAGGCGACTAAGGGGATCGGGTGGTCAGGCACGCTGACTTTCATTTCATCGTAACTCAATTGCGTGGATCAATGCTCATGATATCAGTTACTGGATTGTCTGGCCCAGACTCGATTATTTACAGACCACCGTCATATAGCTGGAATATTGCTTGGTGTGGCGTTAAACAACAAAGATAGATAGATGTAGATAGGCTCTAGACTGTATATTTATTGATATAACAGTGTGGTTTTCAGAGTAAGATCATGAAGATTTGCAAGAAAAATATTCAGAACATTTGTCTTTTCTTGTCACATAACATGTTTATCTCATCTTGTGACCCAAGTTGACATTTGACTTGTTCCTGTGCCACTCATGAAAATATCATCCTTGTCAGGTCACTCATGAAATTATATCTGTAAAAGAGTTAAAACAGAAGCAGAAGGATTTACCTTTGGTCAACACTTGAAAAGCCATTTGTCTGAAGCCAGAGTCTAGTAAACTTTCTTCTGGTCCAGTAAGATCATCTTATACTAAACAAGCATTTCTGACATTGACTGTTATGGTAATGTTCTGAACTTAACTATTTGATGCTAATGGTTAGGGGAAGAATGGCAAACTCACAAATAGGTTAAAACGTGCAAAACACATCAATATGAGTATGGAAAACAATTAAGACAATTTTAGTGTCACTTTTGTTTAAACTCAGGACCGTTCTTCCATCTGATGAAGCAGAAACTCTTTGTTCAAGAGATTGTTATCCAATCTGTTTCATTCATTTATTGTTTGTAAGGTTTGAAGTCCCCTTTATCATGTGTAAGGAGATTAATTGTGATGTGCAAGGACATTAATCTGTTTTTTAGATCACGATCGTGACTTTATTGATAAAGATAATAGTTAAAATTTTCAAAAAGCTTTGGCCTCTAAGGTGTAAAGAGTAGTCTCCCTTTGACCCTTCACGTCAACGTACGGTTGTTAGTGTCAAGTTTTCATTTTGACATGACATGCGATATGGATACCAGAGAGTGTCAACTTTTCGGCATAATAAATTTGTTATGGTGTCTTTAGTTGCCATATATGGTGTCATATTAGGTTAGCTGAAAAATATTCGGCTCAACACCATAACTAATAGTATTAGCTCAACAGGACCATGGGTCCAAGGGAGGTTATTGTATGGTGTCTGTTGTTCATCCATTTACTAGCAGTGATATTGCTTAGTACCATTAAGAAGAGGTGTGGACTTTCATTTTCAGATGATTCATGAGAAGCAGGAAGTAAGTTTCTCCTGACATCCCGTGCAGTTAATATTCCCATGTCCTCTCCACCCCACCTGGGGGCACGGGTGGCCCAGTCGTCTAAGGTGCTGCAATTCACTGTGCAGAGTTGCATCCCTTGGACACGCCAGAAACCTATGATTGTGGGTACAAATCCCAGTTCACCCCAATTATGTTTCTAGGTTTGTCAGCACCATACCCGTGCTCGTGGGTTTCACCGAAGTGGTAAACGTCAGAGACCTTCATCATTTCGGGCTTTCCTCCCACATTAAGCTGACACTCTGTGATATAACTAGAATACTGTTAAAAGCGGCGTTAAACCAAACACACCCACTCACTCACCATCAGCCACCTGCCATCCCTCCACCTCAAGCCCCAAACTATTATTGTGACATTCTTATGTTCAGAGCATCTAATATTATGTTATGTATTATGCAATGAGAAACACCATTCTAGTTAGTCATCTGGCCTTCACCTTCAAGTTTTATTTTAGAGTAGCCTTCCTTTTAAAACAAATACTATTACATTCCCTTTTGCCCTAGAAATGGTCATTCCTTTCCTTTGTTGTAAATCATTGACCCACTATGATTTCATACGAAATGTTTTTATTAATATTTACATACATTACGATTCTCATCCCTGTTAAATACTGCTTCACTTGCTTTTGCTTGTTAGATTTGTTTTGAAACACATTTCTAATAAAAACTGTATGAAATAGGTACTAGTGTGGTAATTCCTACATATTACTAAAAGCATGGGTCATTTAGAGGAGAGAATCATTTTAGCGTTGTCGCTAGCTAGGGACTCCATAAAGACACGAAGTAAGGTTGCAAGTGTAGGACTGACTCGACATGGGTTACAGTACAGCTGAGATAACTCATGATGTCATGTTTGGATACCGCTACAATCATGACATTAGTAGGAATGGAATACTGATAGTAAGAGATCAGCTATGGTTATTAGTTTGAACCATCATATATGCCAGCCTGCCTCACATCCTGCTCAGCACCCAAAAATCCTTCTCAACTTGATTCAGTGTTCAGACCAACTGAGAGTGAGCCACTGCTGAAAAACCTAGTCAGCACCATACCTGTATCCATGTATAAACCAAGGCGATAAACCTCTAACACCTGCATCACTTCGATCCTTCCTGTGCAGAGTTGGGTTCCTTGGGAGTGCTAGGAACCTATGGTCATGGGTTTGATTCTCAGGTTTTCCCTGACTATGTTTCTAGGTTTGTCTGCACCATACCCATGTTTGTGGGTTTAACCAATGTGGTAAGCTACTTAGACCTACATCACTGTCACGCCATTCTATAACTGAAATACAGCTCAAAGCAGTCACTCACTAACTCAGTGTTTATTCCCTTAACAATGTAAGTCTCACTGCTTCCAGTTGATTGTGAACCCCCGGAAGGCCGTGGACCGTGTGGACATCACCATCAACAACCCCTTGTCTCAAGATGATGAGGTGAGTTCAACCCCCTGTCTCTAGATGATGTGGTGAGTTCAACCCGTCTCAAGATGATGTGATAAGTTCAACCCCCTGTCTCAAGATGATGTGGTGAGTTCAACCCCCTGTCTCTAGATGATGTGGTGAGTTCAACCTGTCTCAAGATGATGTGATAAGTTCAACCCCCTGTCTCAAGATGATGAGGTGAGTTCAACCCGTCTCAAGATGATGTGGTGAGTTCAACCCCCTGTCTCTAGATGATGTGGTGAGTTCAACCCCCTGTCTCAAGATGATGTGGTGAGTTCAACCCCCTGTCTCAAGATGATGTGATGAGTTCAACCCCCTGTCTCAAGATGATGTGGTGAGTTCAACCTTCTGTCTCTAGATGATGTGATGAGTTCAACCCCCTGTCTCTAGATGATGTGGTGAGTTCAACCCCCTGTCTCAAGATGATGTGGTGAGTTCAACCCCCTGTCTCAAGATGGTGAGGTGAGTTCAACCCCCTGTCTCAAGATGATGTGATGAGTTCAACCCGTCTCAAGATGATGTGGTGAGTTCAACCCCCTGTCTCAAGATGATGTGGTGAGTTCAACCCCCTGTCTCAAGATGATGTGGTGAGTTCAACCCCCTGTCTCAAGATGATGTGATGAGTTCAACCCCCTGTCTCAAGATGATGTGGTGAGTTCAACCCCCTGTCTCAAGATGATGTGATGAGTTCAACCCCCTGTCTCAAGATGATGAGGTGAGTTCAACCCCCTGTCTCAAGATGATGTGATGAGTTCAACCCCCTGTCTCAAGATGATGTGAGTTCAACCCCCTGTCTCTAGATGATGTGGTGAGTTCAACCCGTCTCAAGATGATGTGGTGAGTTCAACCCCCTGTCTCAAGATGATGTGATGAGTTCAACCCCCTGTCTTAAGATGGTGTGGTGAGTTCAACCCGTCTCAAGATGATGTGGTGAGTTCAACCCGTCTTAAGATGATGTGGTGAGTTCAACCTTCTGTCTCAAGATGGTGAGGTGATTTCAAACCCGTCTCAAGATGATGAGGTGAGTTCATCCCCCTATCTCAAGATGGTGAGGTGAGTTCAACCCCCTGTCTCAAGATGATGTGGTGAGTTCAACCCCCTGTCTCAAGATGGTGAGGTGAGTTCAACCCCCTGTCTCAAGATGGTGAGGTGAGTTCAACCCCCTGTCTTAAGATGTTGAGGTGAAGGCCCTTCCTATGCATGTCACCTTAAGATAGGACACCCTCAGACATTTGTTGCTATCCATTTTCCAATAATGATTAATTTCAATTTCAGAGTCCATGGAACCAGTTTTTCCAGGATAATGAGCTGAGATTAACAATTAAACAAGATGTGATTCGAACGTAAGTATACTGTATTCATGTGATAGGGCCAGGAAGTTAGTGTCAGCCAGTCTCATCATACCAGCTAGCTGAACAGGTTTCTCCCATATCGCCTACATGCCAATTTGCCTACGCTTCAATACACCTACAGGTTTTATGTAGGTGATTGGGCACACCCCTATGTCAAAAATAGACTGTCCCGACATGTCATTAAAACATTCCACACTAGATAAGACTACAGAAATTGACAGCTTACAGCTTAAACACAGATTTTTTTGTGATCTCAGACTGTTGACATAGGTTCATTATTCATTACATTCAAACATCTCACTGCACAAAAGATTAAAGAACTGCTTCGGAAACACACTGTCACTGACTGTAATATGGTTAATAAGGACAATCGGATAAAAGGCTTATCTAAAGATTAACAACTAAGTAGCAGATTACTGAAGCAACGTTTGATGCTTATCTGCAGAAAATAATGTTTTTTATGGAATTCTTTTTATTCTCAATCAAAGTTTTCAAAAAAGGGGAATAAAATAAGGGCCCATCTGCATGTATTCAATTTCACTATGGCGAACCTTCAGCGAGTTGAATACATAACTTCACAGCGTGGTGGTCAACAGGTCCTACATGATGGCTTTTGCTATCGTTTGAACGCCTGGCGTCAACTGCCTTGCTGTCCATTGGAAGTGTGTTTTTGGTGGATGCAAAGGTCGACTAACTACCATTGGAAATTGTGTGTCCTCAAGTTTATGGCTTCAGGTTTATGTGATCTACTGTTTAAAGCATGACCCTATGTATCGGGTTGCCTAATGCCTGCTTCCAAACAACTTCAGAGCTACATATGCCAGACTATACCAGCTACTTAAAGATGCTACACAGAGGGCAGTTGGAACTGAACCATCTCCAGAGCTTATCCAGACCGACTTTGAATCTGCTGCCCTGCAAGCCGCAGAAGAAGCCTTCCCTGATGCTGACCTGCTTGGATGTTTTTGTCCACTTTACACAAGCAATACAGCGCTGTGCAGCATAAGAAGGTCTACCTAGAGAATCAGCAGAATATCCAAGTCCAGACCCATGTCAGACAAGTTATGGCTCTCCTGCTTCTGCCAGTCGACCAGGTCCAGGAAACGTTGCTCACCCCCCCTGAACCAAAGTCCAGTTAGCCAGAATATGGATACATAACTCTTACATTAATACCCACTGTTTGTCTTCTTGTTGAATTCAAAATGATCCAGTCCTTTCTTCACAAAGTGTAGACGTGTGACTATCAGACCATAACTTGTTGTCATAAGACTGTAGGCAAAGTTGAGTGTAGGCGATATGGTACCAATCCAGGTCCCCGTTCCACAAAGCGATCGTAGAGCTACGACTGTCATAAGCCTATGCTAAAGAATGGGCGTTACGATCATCTTAGCGCTACGATAGCTTTGTGGAACGGGACCCAGCTTTACATCATAAATTCATGCACGTGTTCAGCATCTAGAGATGCTTCATTCTAATGGTTAACGTTTGAATCTGCAGGCATGCCAGGTTTGGTCTGTCTTAATGTGTTTAACATATTGACCTGAAGGCACCTTGAGTTGAGATATAACTGGGGTATATTGGAGCTATAACTGGGGTATATTGGAGATGTTATTGGAGTATATTGGAGCTATAACTGGGGTATTTTGGAGATGTTGCTAAGGATATATCAGAGATATTGAAGTATATTGGAGCTGTTACTGGGATATATTGGAGATATTTCTAAGGATATATCAGAGATATTATTGAAGTATATTGGAGCTATAACTGGGTATTTTGGAGATGTTGTAGCGCTTTATTGGTGTTATTCCTCAGGGCCCCATTCCAGAGTGCTAAGATCATTGTAACTACCATACTGTAACGTAGTCTTACAATAGTTGTAGAGCTATCATTGCTTGTGGAATGTGGCCAAGGTGTAGTTAAGATTTACCTTCTCGTGCAGTCCATTAAATGAAAATCCGTTTTAAAGCACACTGTTTTGAAATATTTCTGTATCATCCTTGGGTGTAGGTTACATCATAGCTCCTCACCTCGCCCTGGACTGTGTCCTCTGTAGTGAGAGTCAGGAAGAGGATGTTCAACAGCAGGCTAGCGTCACACTTACAATGTTGCTCCTTAATAAGTATGATTTTATTTTTTTCAGCTACCCCAAAATAGAGTTTTTTCAGTCAAACCAGTTGCGGAATTTAATGGTGGATATTCTGTTCATCTATGCAAAAGTGAACCCAGATCTGTCTTATCGCCAGGTACAATGTTGCTGTGTTGCATCTGCAGTGTAGTAGTGGTTTGTCTTTGTCAGGTGTGTCCCGTGGGTGGTGTGAAGGTCTTACGAGGTTACAGGTCACATCACCAGGGTATAGAAGGGTGGGTGGTTTGGTTGGTGCTAGAGAGGTGGTCTGAAGTCCGAACTCTGATGATGTCACATCACCAGGGTAAAGAAGAGTGGGTGGTGTGGTAGGGGCTAGAGGAGTGGTCTGAAGTCTGATGCTGAGGTCACATCACCAGGGTAAAGAAGGGTGGGTGGTTTGATAGGGGCTAGAGGGGTGGTCTGAAGTCTGAAGTCTGATGAGGTCACATCACCAGGGTAAAGCAGGGTAGGTGGTTTGGTAGGGGCTAGAGGGGTGGTCTGAAGTCTGATGATGTCACATCACCAGGGTATAGAAGGAGTAGTGGTTTGGTAGGGGCTAGAGGGGTGGTCTGAAGTCTGATGATGTCACATCACCAGGGTAAAGAAAGGTTGGTGGTTTGGTAGGGGCTAGAGGGGTGGTCTGAAGTCTGATGATGTCACATCACCAGGGTAAAGAAGGGTAGGTGGTTTGGTAGAGGGGTGTTCTCAAGTCTGATGATGTCACATCACCAGGGTATAGAAGGAGGAGTGGTGTGGTAGGGGCTAGAGGGGTGGTCTGAAGTCTGATGATGTCACATCACCAGGGTAAAGAAAGGTTGGTGGTTTGGTAGGGGCTAGAGGGGTGGTCTGAAGTCTGATGATGTCACATCACCAGGGTATAGAAGGAGGAGTGGTTTGGTAGGGGCTAGAGGGGTGGTCTGAAGTCTGATGAGGTCACATCACCAGGGTAAAGAAGGGTAGGTGGTTTGGTAGAGGGGTGTTCTCAAGTCTTCACCAGGGTATAGAAAGATAGATGGATGGTTTGGTTTGGCTGACTTGTGACGTCCACTGCCTCAGTAATGTGACCTAGGTTCAGGTTTTTGTACATAGAAAGGGAACATGTCTTTTCAACTAAGTTGCAGACAAAATGAGTTACCTTGTATCAAAGACAAAGACTACCAGTGTGTTGAAAGTAATTTCCACATTCCTATTTTTTCCAGCTCTCTCTTACTTCAGTGTGTCCATGAGTTTAGCATGTGTGCCGTGTGTAGCATGTGGTGGTACAGGTACCGTAGCTCACCTAACTCAGATTGTCAACACATGAGAGGCTGCTAAGTAGGTGTCCTCTGCCTAAATTAGAATTTGCATGACTTCATCTCTGTTTGACTCTTTGTGGATCCAGTTTAGAACAGCCCTTCATAGACTGTCAGAAGAGCGGCTGAACTGGATTAGGGGGTTAGACTTGATGTGGGACAATGCTCATGATATCAACCACTGGTTTGTCTGGCCCAGATTTGATTTTTTAATAGCCACTGCGATATGGTTTACATTTTGGGGACTGGCATAAAGTAACAAATAAAATCAAAATCAAATTATCTTTGTGTGCATATTCCAGGGTCAGGTGAGCTAGGGTGATGCTGCTGCTGCTGCTGTTGATGCTGCTTGTGTTTCAGTAGATGTGGATTTGCATGACTTGTACTTCATGAGTGACACACACAGACCCCTAGTCATGTTAGCTCTTGCCTGTACATGCTCTCTTTTCATTTATCTTTCTTATGTTGTCTGTGTTGTTTTAGTTTTCCAGAACTTGAGTTTTTCAAATCTGAAGAGTTGCGTGACATGATGATCAATGTGTTGTTTTGCTATTGTCGCACAAACAGGGAAATAGGCTATAGACAGGTCAGTTGCACTACAAAGCATTTTACCTAGTTCATGCATGATTGGAACTAAGTAAATTAATAATGAAGACTTGACTTCTGTATTTGACAAATATAGCATGTATGCTGTGTCTTCATCAGAATCCACTTGGTTACTGATTGACCTGAGATCACACCATGTTAAAAAAAAGCAATACATGCATGAATTTCATATATTTTTAACTATAAGTTCTATATTTAAAAAGAAAACTTGTAGGAATCTTACAGCTATAATATTCCAATTCTTCGAAATAGTCCTGCACAATTCAATATTCCGTGTCTAACATCTGTTGAACCTTAATGATTCCCTGGGGGCACAGGTGGCGATTCGCTGTGCAGTGTTGCATCCCTTGGGCACGCCAGAAACCTATGATTGTTGGTTCGAATCCTGGTTCGCCCCAATTATGTTTCTACTTTGTCAGCACCATACTCGTGCTCATGGGTTTCACCGAAGTGGTAAACGTCTGAGTCCTGCATCACTTCGGGCTTTGCTCCCACATTAAGCTGACACGCCGCGATATAACTGTAATACTGTGAAAAGTGGCGTTAAACCCAACTCACTCACTCACTCACTTAATGATTCCCAATAATAAACGATGCAGAATGTTGCCTGAGGTCATGCCTAGACTTTGTAAATTCAGCAGTGAGGTATATTGAATTTTTTCATGTTGGCCATGCATGGTCCATTATACACAAAAGTGCTGGCTTTATTGAGGTAACTTGTCTCATGATGCCTTGTGACCATGATGCCGAGTTCCCAGAATCCTTTACCATGTCCCATGATTCCTTGTTACTGTGAGTAAATGGTCTAATGGAGACAGCATCTGCCGGAAGCAGACGGTAAGTAGGTCAATCCAGGCTGCGTCATATCAACAGACGTTAAAAGATGACGCTAAGCATTCAAGGATAAAACAAGCTTGGCTCAGAGTCGGCATACTTCGTCTGAGTGGGATTCCAATATATATATCCGCTGTACAAGAGCCATAGTCTTGAACATGATGTTAAACCCTACTTCAAATCACGTCGTATGTAGAAGTTCCCATAATCCCAAGTAACCATGACTAGATGTAGAATATCTACTTTTGGTCAATGTTCCCAGAGTTCCTTTAATATAGCCCATGATTACTTGTAAAAATGTCTGTTTAGTAGCTTCCTTTCTTCAGAAGTTTAAAACGGAACATTCCTTTCCTTTTTTCCTGTGCATAGAAGCAGAATGTTTAACCTTTGATTTGCCTTCTTTCTCAGGGGATGCATGAGTTGTTGGCTCCATTGATCTTTGTTCTACACTGTGATCATCAAGCATTCCTGCATGCCTCGGAGATCGAGACCCTTCAGTAAGTACATCTATGTGTTGTGGCATCCTCAGGGCTTGTCACTGAGTGGGTGAGTGAGTGAGTATTTGTTTAAGCTGATTTTAGCAATAATTCAGAAAAATCGACTTTGTGTGTATGGAAGCCCAGCTGTGTAAGCAATGACTTTATGTGTATGGAAGCCCAGTCATGTAAGTACTGACTTTGTACGTATGGAAGCCTAGCTGTGTAAGTACTGACTTTGTGCGTATGGAAGCTTAGCTGTGTAAATACTGACTTTGTGTATATGGAAGCCCAACTGTGTAAGTACTGACTTTGTGTGGATGGAAGCCCAGCTGTGTAAGCAATGACTTTGTGTATATGGAAGCCTTGCTGTGTAAGTACTGACTTTGTATATATGAAAGCCCAGCTGTGCAAGCAATGGTTTTGTGTATTTGGAAGCCCAGCAGTGCAAGCAATGCCTGTTCATAGAGAAATGACTTGATTTCAGCTACCTCCACATCAATCACAGGTCAGCCCACAAATCTCTCTCTATACCGCTTGATCTCATTCAGTAGGCTGGGTCCTAACTCTACAAACTCTTGCATGCTGGGATCTCTTTCATTATAGGCTATTCTTAATTATATAGTTCTCCATGTACTGACAAACAAAGCATGAAAAATATCAGAAAGTCCAAATACTGATATTCATATCCTGAAGGACTGAGAAGGCCTGGGGGACCTGGGTTATGCCATGGCCTGGAAGTCCTGAGTTATGTCATGGCCTGGAGGACCTGGGTTATGTCATGGCCTGGAGGTCCTGGGTTATGTCATGGCCTGGAGGTCCTGGGTTATGTCATGGCCAGGAGGTCCTGGGTTATGTCATGGCCTGGAGGTCCTGGGTTATCTCATGGCCTGGAGATCCTGGGTCATGTCATGGCCCGAAAGACCTGGGTTTTGTCAGGGCCTTGAGGTCCTGAGTTATGTGATGGCCTGGAGATACTTGGTTATGTCATGGCCAGTAGGACCTGGGTTATGTCATGGCCTGGAGGTCCTGGGTTATGTCATGGCCTGGAGGTCCTGGGTTTTGTCATGGCCTGGAGGTCCTGGGTTATGTCGTGGCCTGGAGGTCCTGGGTTATGTCATGGCCTGGAGGTCCTTGGTTATGTCATGGCCTGGAGGTCCTGGGTTATGTCATGGCCTGGAGGTCCTGGGTTATCTCATGGCCTGGAGATCCTGGGTCATGTCATGGCCCGAAAGACCTGGGTTTTGTCATGGCCTGGAGGTCCTGAGTTATGTGATGGCCTGGAGATCCTTGTTTATGTCATGGCCAGTAGGACCTGGGTTATGTCATGGCCCGAAAGACCTGGGTTATGTCATGGCCTGGAGGTCCTTGGGTATGTCATGGCCAGTTGGACCTGGGTTATGTCATGGCCTGGAGGTCCTGGGTTATGTCATGGCCAGTCGGACCTGGGTTATGTCATGGCCTGGAGATCCTGGGTTATGTCATGGCCTCGAGGTCCTGGGTTATGTCATGGCCTGGGTGTCCTGAGTTATGTCATGGCCTGGATGTCCTGGGTTATGTCATGGCCTGGAGGTCCTGGGTTATGTCATGGCCTGGAGATCTTGGGTTATGTCATGACCTGAAGAACATGGGTTATGTCATGACCTGGAGATCCTAGGTTATGTCATGGCCTGGAGGTCCTGGGTTATGTCATGGCCTGGAGATCCTTGGTTATGTCATGGCCTGGATATCCTTGGTTATGTCATGGCCTGGAGGTCCTTGGTTACCTCATGGCCTGAAGGACATGGGCAGCCATGCGTATGTCACCTGGCATGTTCTGAATGAATGTATGTGATGACATGAAGAACCTTGGAATGTGTAGAACAAGTCCATATCATCATGTGTCTCTAATTAAATTTCTAAGTATACAGTGTAAACAACTCACAATCAGCTACATTTCCTCCAACCTTATCCAATGTGTAGAACAATAAATGTTTTGATAGGCATTTCTTAGAAGTTGACAGATGACACAGTTGACACAATATATATCGCTGTAGTAGTACATTAAGAAGTTGTACATGGTGTCTACTTTGTAGAAGAATAAGCGTGTGCTCGGGCCTTGATTTCTATTTGTATTTTGAGCTTTATAGAACCAAGATATACATAATATAGTTTCACCTTTGTCTTTGCTTGTTATCCATCTGCAATCAGGTGTAACCATTCAGCTCATCAATGCTGACAAGTAGTTCCGCTTCTTCTGAAACCATTCAGCTCATCAATGCTGACAAGTAGTTCTGCTTCTTCTGAAACCATTCAGCTTATCAATGCTGACAAGTAGTTCCGCTTCTTCTGAAACCATTCAGCTTATCAATGCTGACAAGTAGTTCCGCTTCTTCTGAAACCATTCAGCTCATCAATGCTGACAAGTAGTTCCGCTTCTTCTGAAACCATTCAGCTTATCAATGCTGACAAGTAGTTCCGCTTCTTCTGAAACCATTCAGCTCATCAATGCTGACAAGTAGTTCCGCTTCTTCTGAAACCATTCAGCTTATCAATGCTGACAAGTAGTTCCGCTTCTTCTGAAACCATTCAGCTCATCAATGCTGACAAGTAGTTCCGCTTCTTCTGAAACCATGCAGCTTATCAATGCTGACAAGTAGTTCTGCTTCTTCTGAAACCGCTGTTTGATGCCATGACACAGAGAGACAATATCACTGCCATGAATTCTTAATTCATTTTCTTAAATACATGAGTAGAACTAAATATTATGTAATAGTCAGCAGAGGAAAGAGAATCACCCTACCATGCCTGCCCACCCCAATCTGTTTCAAGTGTGGCTGAACTCCCTGGATCACTCACACAAACAGCATCCGGACTTGAATACACTGTAATAGTGTATGTTGTGGCACCTCATTGTCATCTTGTCTGCATTTACTTTCAGGGACATCGTCAAGGAAATCATGAGTCCCACCCATCTGGAGCATGATGCCTAGTGAGTAGAGACACAACTTCTCTTGTAGACATAACTTTGTTTGTCTGTTTGTTTGTTATTCAGCACCACTTCAAAGGCTCATTTTCAGTAAAATATTTGTGTGAAACTATTATATCTTCCTTATGCTTGCCATCACACTCTCAGTATGATAACTCAAAGTGCATTTAACGTAACAACAGATGTCCTGATGGCTGCACAGATGAGCCAGCCGACTTGTGGTAGATTTTACATGACAGTGACTGGCCAGACAGGTAGCTGGATTTTATAACAAGTGATGATAATGGACTGCACTGTGCATCAGGGACGCCACAACATTGTCCACCATACTGTTAGGTGGAATATTGCTGAGTGTGCGTTAAACCATAAGCACGCACCATGTAGGAAATACAGCTTTATGCATTACTAAAAGAGTCTTAATAGAGACTTAAGTGTATATTCCTGCCTTCTGTGTTACAGCGCTATGTTCTGTCAGATCATGGAGACTGTGGAGCCCTGGTACACAACAAAAGAACATATGATAAAGGTGGGGAATATTGTGTAGCTCTCATTGTACAGGTGGGGAATATTACATAGCTGTCATTGTACAGGGTGGGATATTATGTAGCTCTGACTGTACAGGTGGGGAATATTACATAGCTGTCATTGTATAGGGTGGGATATTATGTAGCTCTGACTCTATAGGTGGGGAATATTACATAGCTGTCATTGTATAGGGTGGGATATTATGTAGCTCTGACTGTACAGGTGGGGAATATTACATAGCTGTCATTGTACAGGGTGGGATATTATGTAGCTCTGACTGTACAGGTGGGGAGTATTACATAGCTGTCATTGTACAGGGTGGGATATTATGTAGCTCTGACTGTACAGGTGGGGAATATTACATAGCTGTCATTGTATAGGGTTGGATATTATGTAGCTCTGACTGTACAGGTGGGGAATATTACATAGCTGTCATTGTACAGGTGGGAATATTTTGTAGCTCTGACTCTATAGGTGGGGAATATTACATAGCTGTCATTGTATAGGGTGGGATATTATGTAGCTCTGACTGTACAGGTGGGGAATATTACATAGCTGTCATTGTACAGGGTGGGATATTATGTAGCTCTGACTGTACAGGTGGGGAATATTACATAGCTGTCATTGTATAGGGTGGGATATTATGTAGCTCTGACTGTACAGGTGGGGAATATTACATAGCTGTCATTGTACAGGGTGGGATATTATGTAGCTCTGACTGTACAGGTGGGGAATATTACATAGCTGTCATTGTACAGGGTGGGATATTATGTAGCTCTGACTCTATAGGTGGGGAATATTACATATCTCTCATTGTACAGGTGGGAATATTTTGTAGCTCTCACTGTAAAGGTGCCGAATATTGTGTAGCTCTCGCTGTACAGGTGGCGAATATTACATATTTCTCATTGTACAGGGTGGGATATTGTGTAGCTCTCACTGTACAGGTGGGGGATGTTACATATACCCCAATGTACAGGTGGGAATATCGTGTAGCTCTTTCTGTACAAGTGGGGAATATTGTGTAGCTCTCATTGTACAGGTGGGGAATATTGTGTGGCTCTCACTGTACAGTTGGGGATTATTGTGTTGCTCTCAGTGTACAGGTGGGGAATATTACATATCTCTCACTGTACAGATGGGAATATTGTGTAGCTCTCATTGTACAGGTGGGGAATATTGTGTAGCTCTCACTTTACAGGTGGGGAATATTGTGTATCTCTCACTGTACAGGTCTGGAATATTGTGTAGCTCTCATTGTGCATGTGGGGAATATTGTGTAGCTCTCACTGTACAGGTGGGGAATATTGTGTAGCTTATTGTACAGGTGGGAATATTGTGTAGCTCTCATTGTACAGATCTGGAATATTATGTAGCTCTCATTGTACATGTGGGGAATATTGTGTTGCTCTCACTGTACAGGTGGGGAATATTGTGTAGCTCTCATTGTACAGGTGGTGAATATTGTGTAGCTTTCATTGTACAGATTGGGAATAGTGTGTAGCTTTCACTGTACAGGTGGGGAATATTGTGTAGCTTTCATTGTACAGATGGTGAATATTCTGTAACTCTCATTGTACAGGTCTGGAATATTGTGTAGCTTTCATTGTACAGGTGGGGAATATTGTGTAGCTCTCACTGTACAGGTGGGGAATATTGTGTAGCTCTCACTGTACAGGTGGGGAATATTGTGTAGCTCTCATTGTACAGGTGGTGAATATTGTGTAACTCTCATTGTACAGGTGGGGGATATTGTGTAGCTTTCATTGTACAGATGGGGAATAGTGTGTAGCTTTCACTGTACAGGTGGGGAATATTGTGTAGCTTTCACTGTACAGGTTGGGAATATTGTGTATCTCTCACTCTATGGATGGGGAATACTGTTCAGGCTCCCCCTCCTCCAAATAGTGGACAAGGCACACATATTGGTTGGCTGCTGAAATGTTGTGTAGGAATGTATCTTGGAATGTAGTTTTGGGGTTGTGTTTTCAGGGCAGAGAGTACATGGTGGCTCAGCCGTTCTCCCGACCACAGGACCTGAACCCCTCCAATGTGATAGTGACCAAGTTAACCCGCATCCAGGACTACCTGCTGAAGAAGTTTGATGCAGAACTACATCTCCATCTAGAGCGATTAGACATTGCACCACAGATATATGGCATGTGAGTATAACACCACAGATATATGGCATGTGAGTATAACACCACAAATATATATGGCATGTGAGTATAACACCACAGATATATGGCATGTGAGTATAACACCACAGATATATGGCATGTGAGTATAACACCACAGATATATGGCATGTGAGTATAACACCACAGATATATGGAATGGGAGTATAACACCACAGATATATGGCATGTGAGTATAACACCACAGATATATGGCATGTGAGTATAACACCACAGATATATGGCATGTGAGTATAACACCACAGATATATGGCATGTGAGTATAATACCACAGATATATGACTTGTGAGTATAACACCACAAATATATATTTCTTGTGAGTATAGAAATATTGGAACGTCATGTATACAAACGTATTGATGATGCCCATAAATAGAGGTTTAAACACACTGTTGATTGTTGTCATGTGTTGGTGCCGTCACAGAGTACTTGTAACTCAATCTCATTAAAATCAGATCTTAGTTCTCTTTATCGCTAAACAAAGATCTGAGGACATCCCATTACGGGTCACGAGTAATGAGATTGACTTGTAACTGTGCCCTGTTTGTTGCAGTCGGTGGGTGCGGCTGCTGTTTGGACGAGAGTTTCCCATGCAAGACCTGCTGGTGATATGGGACGCCATCTTTGCAGATGGAATTGGATTCGACCTGGTGGACTATGTATTTGTTTCAATGTTGCTCTATATTAGAGATTTGTGTGAGTATACTGTAGAAATCTTTCCACAGATGTAAACTTGTCATTGCTAGTGTTTGACCATTTTGACATGAATGTCACTTTGAGGCGGAGCCAGGATTCTGAAAAGAGGTTGCACTCTACCCTACTCTACACATGCCACACACCTTCCAGACTTGATCTGCCCGTGTCAATGTAGCCTGTTCCCTGAAAACTACTTAGCTTTCACATATTTTTGTGTATATAATAGAAATTGGCAGCTTTTCCTACAATAGCAATGCGTCTGAGTGACAAATGGTCACTAGATGGCACACATTCATCATGGTTGCCGTCAGTTGTGAGTTGAAATCTCTCCATGTCTGTTCCAGTATTGGCCAGTGACTACGCAGCCAGTCTCAGCTGCCTCATGAAGTATGTACCTGTAGGAGATGTTCACTACTTCATTGAGAAGGCCCTCTATCTCCGGGAACCCAATGTAAGTAACACCTCATTGAGAAGGCCCTCTATCTCCGGGAACCCAATGTAAGTAACACCTCATTGAGAAGATCCTCTATCTCCGGGAACCCAATGTAAGTAACACCTCATTGAGAAGGCCCTCTATCTCCGGGAACCCAATGTAAGTAACACCTCATTGAGGAGGCCCTCTATCTCTGGGAATCCAATGTAAGTAACACCTCATTGAGAAGGCCCTCTATCTCCAGGAATCCAATGTAAGTAACACCTCTGTGAGAAGGCCCTCTATCTCCGGGAACCCAATGTAAGTAACACCTCATTGAGAAGGCCCTCTATCTCCAGGAACCCAATGTAACACCTCATTGAGAAGGCCCTCTATCTCCGGGAACCCAATGTAAGTAACACCTCATTGAGAAGGCCCTCTATCTCCAGGAACCCAATGTAACATTTCATTGAGAAGGCCCTCTATCTCCGGGGACCCAATGTAAGTAACACCTCATTGAGAAGGCCCTCTATCTCCGGGGACCCAATGTAAGTAACACCTCATTGAGAAGGCCCTCTATCTCCGGGAACCCAATGTAAGTAACACCTCATTGAGAAGGCCCTCTATCTCCAGGAACCCAATGTAACATTTCATTGAGAAGGCCCTCTATCTCCGGGGACCCAATGTAAGTAACACCTCATTGAGAAGGCCCTCTATCTCCGGGGACCCAATGTAAGTAACACCTCATTGAGAAGGCCCTCTATCTCCGGGAACCCAATGTAAGTAACACCTCATTGAGAAGGCCCTCTATCTCCGGGAACCCAATGTAAGTAACACCTCATTGAGAAGGCCCTCTATCTCCAGGAACCCAATGTAACATTTCATTGAGAAGGCCCTCTATCTCCGGGGACCCAATGTAAGTAACACCTCATTGAGAAGGCCCTCTATCTCCGGGAACCCAATGTAAGTAACACCTCATTGAGAAGGCCCTCTATCTCCGGGAACCCAATGTAAGTAACACCTCATTGAGAAGGCCCTCTATCTCCAGGAACCCAATGTAACATTTCATTGAGAAGGCCCTCTATCTCCGGGGACCCAATGTAAGTAACACCTCATTGAGAAGGCCCTCTATCTCCAGGAACCCAATGTAAGTAACACCTCATTGAGAAGGCCCTCTATCTCCGGGAACCCAATGTAAGTAACACCTCATTGAGAAGATCCTCTATCTCCGGGAACCCAATGTAAGTAACACCTCATTGAGAAGGCCCTCTATCTCCGGGAACCCAATGTAAGTAACACCTCATTGAGGAGGCCCTCTATCTCTGGGAATCCAATGTAAGTAACACCTCATTGAGAAGGCCCTCTATCTCCGGGAATCCAATGTAAGTAACACCTCTGTGAGAAGGCCCTCTATCTCCGGGAACCCAATGTAAGTAACACCTCATTGAGAAGGCCCTCTATCTCCAGGAACCCAATGTAACACCTCATTGAGAAGGCCCTCTATCTCTGGGAACCCAATGTAAGTAACACCTCATTGAGAAGGCCCTCTATCTCCAGGAACCCAATGTAACATTTCATTGAGAAGGCCCTCTATCTCCGGGGACCCAATGTAAGTAACACCTCATTGAGAAGGCCCCCTATCTCCGGGAACCCAATGTAACATTTCATTGAGAAGGCCCTCTATCTCCGGGGACCCAATGTAAGTAACACCTCATTGAGAAGGCCCCCTATCTCCGGGAACCCAATGTAACATTTCATTGAGAAGGCCCTCTATCTCCGGGGACCCAATGTAAGTAACACCTCATTGAGAAGGCCCTCTATCTCCGGGAACCCAATGTAAGTAACACCTCATTGAGAAGGCCCTCTATCTCCGGGAACCCAATGTAAGTAACACCTCATTGAGAAGGCCCTCTATCTCCAGGAACCCAATGTAACATTTCATTGAGAAGGCCCTCTATCTCCGGGGACCCAATGTAAGTAACACCTCATTGAGAAGGCCCTCTATCTCCGGGAACCCAATGTAAGTAACACCTCATTGAGAAGGCCCTCTATCTCCGGGAACCCAATGTAAGTAACACCTCATTGAGAAGGCCCTCTATCTCCGGGAACCCAATGTAACATTTCATTGAGAAGGCCCTCTATCTCCGGGAACCCAATGTAAGTAACACCTCATTGAGAAGGCCCTCTATCTCCGGGAACCCAATGTAAGTAACACCTCATTGAGAAGGCCCTCTATCTCCGGGAACCCAATGTAAGTAACACCTCATTGAGAAGGCCCTCTATCTCCGGGAACCCAATGTAAGTAACACCATATTGAGAAGGCCCTCTATCTCCGGGAACCCAATGTAAGTAACACCTCATTGAGAAGGCCCTCTATCTCCGGGAACCCAATGTAAGTAACACCTCATTGAGAAGGCCCTCTATCTCCGGGGACCCAATGTAAGTAACACCTCATTGAGAAGGCCCTCTATCTCCGGGAACCCAATGTAACATTTCATTGAGAAGGCCCTCTATCTCCGGGAACCCAATGTAAGTAACACCTCATTGAGAAGGCCCTCTATCTCCGGGAACCCAATGTAAGTAACACCTCATTGAGAAGGCCCTCTATCTCCAGGAACCCAATGTAAGTAACACCCTCATTGAGAAGGCCCTCTATCTCCGGGAACCCAATGTAAGTAACACCTCATTGAGAAGGCCCTCTATCTCCAGGAACCCAATGTAAGTAACACCTCATTGAGAAGGCCCTCTATCTCCGGGAACCCAATGTAAGTAACACCTCATTGAGAAGGCCCTCTATCTCTGGGAATCCAATGTAAGTAACACCTCATTGAGAAGGCCCTCTATCTCCGGGAACCCAATGTAAGTAACACCTCATTGAGAAGATCCTCTGTCGTCTATCACCTTAAAACACCTTTTGTGACATCATCCTATTGTTCTTAAGGTTTTTCAAATAGCGGAAAGACTGCAATCTCAAATCTTTACATTTTCAATCATAACCTTCTAGACATGTTTTCACTATGACATAAGTATGTAGTCATTGAAAAGGCTCTCAAAAGCTGCTGCATCAACTCATTAAGAAGGCTGATATGGCAGGGACCGCCGGTGTTGTGTTGCCTCCCTTTTACACTCCAGAAACCTATATTGTGGGTTTGAATCCTGGTTCGCCTGATTATATTTCTAGGTTTATCAGCACCATACCCATGCTATAGGGTTTCACCAAAGTGGTAACCATCAAAGACCTGCATCACTTCTGGCTTTTCTCCCACATTAAGCTGACACACCGTGATATAACTAGAATACTTTTCAAAGTGGTGTATAACCCAGATCACTCACTCACTCACTCTTATACAGCAGAGATCTGGTTCTGTTGCAGCAATACCCACGGCCACCCAACTATACTTACCAGAATGTCAACACAACAGCAGCCAGGAGCAGAAGCAGATGTAAGTAGCTTCCTTCACCGATCTAGAAGGCAACAAGCAGAACTAGGTACAAGTGTAACTCTCAGTCTGATCAATAACAGTTGTAATCGTACCTCATCTAACTCCAGAAACTCACAGCATTTCTTGACGCTGTTGTCATGTGAAGGAAGTAGAGATGAGGTAGTGTTCAACATGTGTACAATAAGCCTGCTTCCTTGCTGCCTGTGTTCTCCTGGCTCTGCAGGGTCTGCCAGCCATGTCCACTCACTCTGCCCATGTATATTCTCATGCACTAGAAGAGTGCCATGGTGAAGTTCACAGTTTTTACTCTTCTGCAATAACATTTCTATTGACAGGACCCACTTGCACAGACTATTATAAGTCTATCTTAATGTATAGGAGTTACTATAGCATTCAAGCTAATACACTTGTAAAACTATCTTAATGTATAGGAGTTACTATAGCATTCAAGCTAATACACTTGTAAAACTATCTTAATGTCCAGGAGTTACTATAGCATTCAAGCTAATACACTTGTAAAACTATCTTAATGTCCAGGAGTTACTATAGCATTCAAGCTGATACACTTGTAAAACTATCTTAATGTCCAGGAGTTACTATAGCATTCAAGCTGATACACTTGTAAAACTATCTTAATGTACAGAAGTTACGATAGCCTTAGAGCTAATACACTTGTAAAACTATCTTAATGTCCAGGAGTTACTATAGCCTTAGAGCTAATACTCTTGTAAAACTATCTTAATGTCCAGGAGTTACTATAGCATTAAAGCTGATACACTTGTAAAACTATCTTAATGTCCAGGAGTTACTATAGCATTCAAGCTAATACTCTTGTAAATCTATGTTAATGTATAGGATTTACAGTAGTTGCTGTGTTCAGAATGGTTCTGTGCAAGTGGGTCCACACCTCCTGGGTCCTGTGTGCTTGACTGACCACTGTGACCAGGGCTCTGTATTAAGCTGGTCCATACACACCTTCCACCATCTAACCTCTCCTCTCACTCTGTCTGCAGCTAACCAAACTAACAAACGCCACGGACATGGATATGGAGGGTTCTCCTCCTTCTCACGCAAGTTTAACCGACCCCGAACACTTGCCTTCTCTAGCAAGAACTTGCCCAAATCCTCCAGTGAGCCCATGAACCTGCAGACTGACATCTCACCAGGTACCTTGTCTTGTTGGGTGCTGGATTCCAGCTTTGTGTCTACACTCAGTGGCTGACCAGTATGCTCTGTAGATGCTCAGCTCCGAGTCCTGCACTTGGTGTTGTCATGTCTGTGTGCCTGTGAATCCTCATCCTATGTCCTGCAGTTTTGGTTGGTCCTCCTCTCTTGCCAAGAGTATTAGAATTAAAAGTTGCTTCTTTTTTTAAACTGTTGTGCTTCTGTGTAATTAATATGTGTAGTTCCAGTTTCATTATTTTCAGACTGATCTTTGAGGCATTTAGATATATCACAATCTTTTCTTTGAATATTTTCTCCCCTCTCATTTTATCTCTCTGCTCTATGTACTCTCTCATCTCATAACTCTGCCCAAATGTCCTCTCTCATCTCATCTCTCTGCCTATGTCCTCTCATGTCATCTCTTATCTCACTACATCCTCCCTCATCTCATCTCTCTGCATATGTCCTCTCTCATCTCATATCACTGCCCTACGTCCTCTCTCATCTCTGTCCTATGTCCTCTCATCTCATATCTCAACCCTACGTCCTCTCTCATCTCATCTCTCAGTCCTATGTCCTCTCATCTCATATCTCTGCCTATGTCCTCTCATGTCATCTCTTATCTCACTACATCCTCTCTCATCTCATCTCTCTGCATATGTCCTCTCTCATCTCATATCTTTGCCCTATGCCCTCTCTCATCTCTGTCCTATGTCCTCTCATCTCATGTCTCTGCCCTATGTCCTCTCTCTATTCCATATCATCTCTCGTCTCCTATCTCTGCTTTATGTCCTACCTCGCGTTTCTGACACATGGTATTGCTGTCTTGCCATGCAATAAGCCAATCTCTGATTTTTGTGTGTAAAATAACAGCATTTACTTCTTGCTTATATTTTATAGAGTTACAACTTTATTTTGATGATGTGTCTTAATGTAAACTGGCCTTTGTTGAAGGTCCCTTGAGACACTTCCCAAACACTGTAATGTCAATTGTCAAGTTTGCATGTGACCTCAGTAAGTCATAATCCATAACTGCTTGTGTAACCATCACTGTGTCCCTGACAGCTCTACATGGTCGCCCCACGCCTCAAGGTCGCCTTGGTAGACTGTCTCTCAGTCTCCTCGATATATACCCAGTGTGGTGTTGTGGTAGCAGTTACTTCACCGGTATTTCCTGATTTATTGATATTTCATACAATTGGTGTTATGGTATCTCATGTCATAAGACAGCTTCCATTGGTGGTGAGCTGACTCCATTGCGCGAGAGACTGTCCTACCATTCTTGGCTCTCCATTTTTTTTGTGGCAGTCATCAGTTTGTATGGCTGTGGATCCAGATTTGTCTGATGGTGTTGAGGTAACGTCTGTGCATGTTAGGTACGGGGTTTTGGCTTGAAGTTTTATCTTCTTTTATAAGTGGCATGTCCAGAATTATGATTTCTTCCACTTGTAGATGTTTGATATTTAATTTAGCAAGGCCATGACTCCAGCACACAGATGGGTGTGTATTTTAGATCACCTGTGTCCCTCCCAACTTGCCCCCCCCCCCTTCCTTTCATGCGTTTTGTATTGTTACTTTGCTTTGATCAAATTCTGATTCTTTCATATTTGTTTATTGACTTTTCTTTTGAGTTCATTTCAATACTTTTGTAATTTTGGTCAAACTTGAACAATGGTTTAAGCTATAATTATATGTTTAAGGATCTACTAATAATTGGTAACCAAATAATATCGTCAAAACTGGCTACCACAGGAGGCTTGGGTGAAGTCAGTTTTATCTCCTGGACATGCAGGGAAAATGAAATTGCATCACAATATTTTGCAGACCATTGTGACGTCATAATAACATGACATCAGTAATGTCTTCGCCACTTCAGCTAGTAAGCTGTGTTGTACACACTCAAGACACTGGTTATTACTGTTTACAAACTAAAGAATGATTTTGGATGATAAATACAATCTCACTCTTGTGTCTTTTGATATTAAATATATCAACACTCATTGATAAAAGTTTAAGACTCCTCATCAAGCTCCTGGGGGCACGGGTCCCCTAAGGCGCCGCAATTTACTGTGTGGAGTTGCGTTCCTTGGGCATGCCAGAAACCTATGATTGTGGGTTTACTGATGAAAGTATTTTAGTTTTTTAGTTTAGCGTGAATAGTTAAGCACTGGATTATCATCTGATTGTATACTAGTGGATTTGTTATCGGATAGTATACTGGTGGTTTGGTTGTTATCTGATTGTATACTAGTTGATTGGTTATCATCTGATTGTATACTAGGGGATTGGTTATCATCTGATTGTATACTAGTGGATTGGTTATCATCTGATTGTGTACTAGCAGATTGGTTATCATCTGATTGTATACTGGTGGATTGGTTATCATCTGATTGTATACTTGGGGATTGGTTATCATCTGATTGTATCCTTGGGGATTGGTTATCATCTGATTGTATACTTGGGGATTGGTTATCATCTGATTGTGTACTAGCAGATTGGTTATCATCTGATTGTATACTAGTGGATTGGTTATCATCTGATTGTATACTTGGGGATTGGTTATCATCTGATTGTATACTAACAGATTGGTTATCATCTGATTGTATACTAGTGGATTGGTTATCATCTGATTGTATACTAGTGGAGTGGTTATCATCTGATTGTATACTGGTGGATTGGTTATCATCTGATTGTATACTTGGCGATTGGTTATCGTCTGATTGTATACTAGTGGAGTGGTTATCATCTGATTGTATACTAGTGTAGTGGTTATCATCTGATTATATACTAGGGGATTGGTTATCATCTGATTGTATACTGGTGGATTGGTTATCATCTGATTGTATACTAGTAGATTGGTTATCATCTGATTTATACTAGTGGATTGGTTATCATCTGATTGTATACTAGTGTAGTGGTTATCATCTGATTGTATACTAGGGGATTGGTTATCATCGGATTGTATACTAGTGGATTGGTTATCATCTGATTGTGTACTAGCAGATTGGTTATCATCTGATTGTATACTAGTGGATTGGTTATCATCTGATTGTATACTTGGGGATTGGTTTTCATCTGATTGTATACTAGTGGAGTGGTTATCATCTGATTGTATACTAGTGGAGTGGTTATCATCTGATTGTATACTAGTGGAGTGGTTATCATCTGTTTGTATACTAGAGGAGTGGTTATCATCTGATTGTATACTAGTGGATTGGTTGTCATCTGATTGTATAATAGTAGATTGGTTATCATCTGATTTATACTAGTGGATTGGTTATCATCTGATTGTATACTAGCAGATTGGTTATCATCAAGCTGACTTTCCAAAAGTCACTCACTTGCTTGCATCCTTTGATAATGTGCTGTCATGACCTTCAATACATGTTTTCATGAAATCCTCAGTGAAGACTAATGGTCCTAATCTCATAACTGCAGCCATGCTGATTCTCTAGGCCCTCCCTTGCACAGCTATGCACATGTAAGACTCCAGTCAGTGATGCGCAGTGTCTCCTGTGGGTACCGTGTGGTCTGTTGCTTGTTAGAATGACCAAACTGTGGTCAAATCACTGTGGATGTTGTGGATCATTGCTAATGATTTCACTCCCTGGCTACTATAATGTAGTCGGAGATTACTGTAGAGTAAGACAGCATTCATTCACTCACTCACTCTGTCACTCTGTGTTGTCCTGCAGCAAGCCCGGTGGTCCCTGACGTGAAGCGCGGGTCCTCTGCCAGCTTGTCCCAGCTGGAGGACCAGATGTTCCGCCACACTCCCTCGTCCTCTAGCCTTGCTCGCCTCGAGGTCATCAACAGGTCTACCCAGTCTACACCTGCAGCCCGCAGCCCTGTAGGCTTCTCTGCTGATGAAGGCTCTACACACAGTAGTCCCACTAAATACTCATCACTGCCAGGACGGTCAAAAGCAAAAGGCAAAAAATTTTCAAGAGCTGTAAGTTTCCAAGGTTGACCATAGTCCCAGATTTCTTCTGGATTTACACATGTCCAGGGAGATGATGCCAATACGAAGAAGGTCCAAAAGATGTTTGCCGTGATTAATTAATGGTTAATTATGATTGCAAGTAATTGTAGAGAATGAAGAATTCAGGGTATGCATTGGGAAGAAGAGTATTGAGTCTTTTTATGGAACAACTGTTGAACATGTAAAATGGAACTACGTTTAGGTATGGGTTTCAAAAAGCTCTTGTGTTGACTTTTATATGAGGCATTTCATCGAAATGGTTGAAAGAAACAAATGTCCGTACTATAACTTACACTTTTTGTAGAACAGATCCCTGATATATACTACTCAAAAGAAGTTAAAGAACACCCTATTTTTTCATATGACGATAGTTACTCTGTCATGCCATATTCAACATCAGTGATATACTCTTCTGATCTCTTCTGATGAAGAAGGTATGTCCTTTTTTCACCAGGAGCAAGAGATGCAGCTCCAAGTGTCCAAACTTCAGGGCCAGATGAATGACAAGTCAGCCATGTGTAGATACTGTTCAACCAAACTGGATATACACATAGGTAAATATAGAACGTAAATGCCAGAGAATAATCAGTATTGATTATCTGTAGAAAAACAGATTCTATTGGGCGTAAAAAGCAAACTAGTGGTGAAAATTATATGAATGGATCACTAAAAATCAGTGATGACGTCATGTGTTCTTGAAAAGGGTAAGCATGTACTGCCCTACAAGTAGCACCCACCACTGGGTCTACACATAGACAAGTCATCTCACCCAAACTGGATATAACATATAGGTACATATGAAACCTCAATGCCATAGAATAACGATGGCAATTCAACCCACCAACTAGATGTACACACGAATAGGTCAATCTACATTTCAATATGAGGTGAATATAGTTCCCTATGTGTGTTATTATCAGTGCATATACCTTGAACCATCCCCAGCAGTGTGAGAGTAGGTTGTATGGACCCTCCTTCTGTTCCAGAACGCCTGCAGAGTGAGCTGATGAAGCTGGAGCTGGATGCAGATGATGAGGTCATGCTGGCTTTGGCCGGGGTCAAGCAGGTATGTCTACTAATCAACACTTGCCGGGAACCAGTTCCTATAGGGCGTCTTCAGTTCAGTAGAGGGACTGAGTGCCAGAGGTTAATGTCGGGATGATGAGTGCCTGAAGTTAATGTCTTGTAGAGGAACAGGGTGCCTGAGGTTAATGTCCTGTAGAGGGACGATGAGTGTCTGAAGTTAATGTCTTGTAGAGGAACAGGGTGCCAGAGGTTAATGTTGGGACGATGAGTGCCTGAAGTTAATGTCCTGTATAGAGAGACAATGAGTGTCTGAAGTTAATGTCTTGTAGAGGAACAGGGTGCCAGAGGTTAATGTTGGGACGATGAGTGCCTGAAGTTAATGTCCTGTATAGAGGGACAATGAGCGCCTGAAGTTAATGTCTTGTAGAGGAACAGGGTGCCAGAGGTTAATGTTGGGACGATGAGTGCCTGAAGTTAATGTCCTGTATAGAGGGACAATGAGTGTCTGAAGTTAATGTCTTGTAGAGGAACAGGGTGCCAGAGGTTAATGTTGGGACGATGAGTGCCTGAAGTTAATGTCCTGTATAGAGGGACAATGAGTGCCTGAATATAATGTTCGGTAGAGGGACAATGAGTGCCTGAAGTTAATGTCCTGTAGAGGGACAGGGTGCCAGAGGTTAATGTCGGGACAATGAGTGCCTGAAGTTAATGTCCTGTATAGAGGGACAATGAGTGCCTGAAGTTAATGTCCGGTAGAGGGACAATGAGTGCCTGAAGATAATATTCTGTAGAAGGACGATGAGTGACCTTGAGGGACCTTGACTGTTCTATGGCTGCTGATGAGTAGTGAATCATGTTCGTTCTTTGACTGCAGGTTAGAGATGTCCTCAACGGCACCCTTCGCTTCTCCCAGAACCTGCTGGATGAAGATGAAATTTCCATCAGTGACAACTATTACAAGGATGAACTAGTCACATCACCGGAGTCAGACATAGCTGGCTCCATGACAAGCTCCATGACAGGCTCCTTCCACCAGCATGGAGCCGGCAAACATTCCGGGAAAGGCAAGCGGCAGAAACTGTTCTACATGAGTAGTGAGGAGAACTCCGAGGCAGCAGATTCCCCGGACTCCTTTAATGGTGTCTCTCATCCTCAGGGCAAAGATTATGAGTTGGACAATTTCCTGAGGAAGCGTGTTGCATCCAAGGACAGTTATACTTCTGGTGGGCCTCAGTTAATGGTGGAGTCCACTGTGTCTGATAGCGGGAGTCAGAGCAGCAACACGGTGCAGACACACAGCTCGGCCTCAGATGCCTTCGACGTCAGTCCTAACCCACTCTATGACATGGAAGCCCAGTGACTGTACAACAACCACTGGCTATGCTCAAGGAATACTCCACATGGTATGAACACTATATCAGGTATCACCACGATGAACTGGGTATGCAGATGGCTTGGACAGGCATGTGGTCACCTGGATTGTGTTTGCAGATGGTCTGGATGTGCGTGACACATGGACACACATACTGTATGGAGACATCAGGACATCTCCCAAGCACTCCTATTTTTCTGTAGTGCTGGTGAAGAGAGCCAAGTACCTATATTTGTACATCCTGATACCTGTCATTGCTAGGCTTCTGCTGCTGTCGGGGCAGAGAATGCAACAAGTGATGGTCTGAATAGTAAGTTGTGACTGTGATTGAACCTATCACGTGACTGTCATGTGACTGTGCTACTGGTGTATTGCTAGTGTCTGTTAAGGTATATTAAGGTATTATGTTTCCAACAAACATTCAGTTTCACTGGGTGAACTTGTACATGGATCTAATACACTCACGGATTTCAAATTTGAAAGAAACATCTTATACAATCTTCTTTTTTTATGGCCAGTAAGTGCATATTGCAGTGATTGCTGGATATAGCACACATCCCAACACACATCTCCAACACATATCCCAACACACATCTCCAACACACATCCCAACACACATCTCCAACACACATCCCAACACACATCTCCAACACACATCTCCAACACACATCTCCAACACACATCCCAACACACATCTCCAACACACATCTCCAACACACATCCCAACATACATGCCCAACCGTGAGTACGCTCAACCCCGACATCCCACCACACACATTGCCACCAAACTGTCAGGACAGCACCCAGTCCTTGGGTCAGGCCTGATAAGTAAGTGTAGGTTAATGCTATCTTGCTAGAGGAGATTACAGTGCTAGGACTACCATGTCTCTATCATAGTGTGGTAATTATAGCTCCACTCTGCCCACAGTTTTAGTCAGGATAACAATATATGTGACCACCAGGAGAAACGGGACCTTATGGGTGCTGGGATACAATTGTGCTGTGACGTCATAAAGATGTTTGACGTCAGCTTACTTCAGTGAAGATTGCCATGTGTGATGTCATGTATCTCTGTAATCATTATGAAGTGAAACTTGTGAATTGTATTTTTGTGTTACGAAGATGCTGTAGTTTTAAAATAAAATGAAAAGTCAAAATGTGATTTATCACCCATAAGGTCCCTCATCTCCTATGGGTCACATGTGTATCAACTATTAGGACTGATAGTACTATTAGGACATGGAGCTGTTAGATGTGTTGAACTGAGGCAGCTGTGCAGTGGAGGTAGCCTAGTTCTTCAAACATTCTTCGCTCATCACATACCATATCCCTCTTCCCTGGGTGGTACGGGTGGAATATTGCCAAAACTGACTTAAACCCTACTCACTCACTAACTGTATATTAATGTCGACACCTTCTGGACATTACTGACCCGACCTTTGAGAGACAGGTGCTACCTGTTTGCCCATGTCGACGGAGACGTTATGTCGGACAGTGTAGGTCCTGCAGTCAGCACCCAGTTCAATATTTGTGCTGATACAATTTATGAAGCCAGTATCTACGTAGACGTGCCACTGTATTAGACAGTGTCTGTATTAGGCAGTGTTCATTTTTAGACAGTGTCAGCAACTGTGTAGGAGTGCCAGGCTTTCCACGTCCTCCATTTTGAGAGGTTTATGCAATGTCTAATGTTGTTCACCGGTTGATGTCGGAGCCACTGTACGCCACATATACACTGTGTGTCAGATTTATGCTATGCCACGAGAAAACTGTTTGCTACCTTACAGCTGACATATTAAAACCATATGCCATGTCAATCACTCACTATTTATGCCATAGTAGCAATATAAGCTGTAAGCCCACAGTAAAACCGTAAGCCCTCGTAATGCTGTAAGCCCATAGTAAAACTGTAAGCCCTCGTAATGCTGTGTGCTAGCTCAATCCCAGTGTCTGTATCTCAGTCATGGTGCATTACAGTGGCAGTTTTCTTATTTCCACAACTATTTATATTGCATCATTGTATCAAATTGTTGTTATGATTATTATGATTATTGATTTTATTTTAGTTATCAATGACAAGTTGTTTTACATTTAAACTAATTAAAACTCATGAATGCATGTGTCCTGTTGTGCTTTCTCCTCTATGATGGGTCAATCGTTTATCATTAGGCCTGAAGTGTCACATTTGTGTCCGTGGACAAAGTCTTCTAAGGAACTGCAGTTTACTCACTCACTCACTGATATTGGAACTGTAGAGATAGAATAGGTCTTCAGCAACCCATGCTTGTCGTAAGAGGCGACTTACAGGACCAGATGGTCAGACTCGCGGACTTGGCTGATGCATGGTATTGTATCCCAGTTGCATGGATCGATGCTCATGATGTCATGAGTTTCTGGTCCTGGCTCGAATATATTTACAGACTGTCATCATAAAGCTGGAATATTGCTGAGTGCAGCGTTAAACAACCAACAAACACACACTGATATTGGTCTGGACCAGTCATCTAAGGCGCCACAGTTCACTCACTCACTGATATTGGTCTAGACCAGTCATCTAAGATGCCACAGTTCACCCATGAACCCCACGTTCATTGCATGGATCGGTGCTCATCTCATGTGCGAGTTATTTGATTCGATGGCAATTTATATCATTGTGCCAGTCGAATCTGGCTAACGAACACTGTTGTAGCGATGGGTCCACTGTATTTATCACAAGACAACTTCCATCTTGAGGATCAACACGTTCCAAAGAAATTTTGTAGCATACGTCACTATTGATGCAAGAACCTATTCTTTCAAAGCCTACATGTGTAACCCAGAAGATGAAACAAATTGTAATTTGCATGGCGTACCTTTAGAATCAGGAATGGCACATTTCAGTTCTAATATTTATGTAATATAAAAGTAGAAAACAAACATATTTTGAAAAACAAAACTAGTAATATTTTTACACAACAATGACTTCCTGAAACATTTGTTATTGTTTTCAATGAACACGGGGTTGACACAATCATAGTGGTATACATGACGCTGTTGACATTGATATATCTACAGTGGTAAAGTTATTAATATTTGTTTCATAATTAATCTTTTCAAAGTAATAGCTACAATGTTGGAATATACACATGGAGACATACAGATATTGTTTACATTGAAACCCACAACTCTGTGAGTGCGTTTGTTATTTTTTACCATGAACCATACTTCTCTATGCGAGTTACCTACCTAATGGTAATATGTTTATTCCAGTAGCCTGACACGTCAGTTATTCGTAACAGTCCGAAAGTGCTAATATGTCCCTACACCGAAATGGGTCAACGTTTCCCGCATAGCGATATGCTGTCGACCTGTCTCCGTCCCTCTCAACATACATACCCGGAAATGGGTCAACGTTTTACCGCGGCGAAATGCGTCCCCTGCCCTTCGCCTCTTAGCGGCTGTTTGCGTGGAGCGCAAGCACTCCAGGGTCCACTTGCACAAAGCGATCTTAGTGCTACAACTATTGTAAGCCTATGTTAAAGTATGGGAGTTACGATCATCTTAGCACTAAGATCGCTTTGTGCAAGTGGGCCCTGGTCAGGTATACCAGTCTAGGTATACCAGTGCCCCCCCCCTCCAGTTCCGGAACGTAACACCACTGCCACTGCCACTGCCACAGGCTAATTTGCATATCACATGACCAGACTTTTTCAGAAATCAGAATAGAATGGACTAATGCAAGTATTTAGGGGCGCTTTACATAATTATATAAAAATGCTACTACAACTGCGACAGTGAGTTGCATGACAATTCATATTTACGCATCAAAGTGACCGTATCGCTGGCTCTCCGTAGGGCTTCGATGACAGCACGTGGAGCCGTACAACCAATGTAAACATAGGATAACTACGCAAATGGAAATAGTTTTTCACGATTTAGGATATTTTCTCAATGAAAGTTAACCATTCTATGACATGTTTAGCTGAATATGTAGACTTTTTAAAAAATGAAATTGATGAAAAACATGCAACATCCTGAATGGACTGTGTAAGATGTGACGAATCGTCATACGGCGCTAGCCTGTGGCTGAGCAGAGACCATATATGGTCTCTGGGCTGAGGTACTATGCTGGTCGAATGGAACTCTGGGTAGGAGAGTGCATGCCCCCATGTAATTTTCACAAACCGATAACACAGAAGACATGGCGCCTGGCGCCCTGCAATAACAGTGGATATAATGATTGCGTAATGGAGAATAGCCTTTAAAATTGTTGGTTCCGGCAGAAAGCTTAGTGTGTTTCGCTAAACGTGAAGTGGCTAACAGGCGATGGCCAATGTACAATTCTGAACCAAAGCCAGTTATAGGTTCGCGTGCGTAACGTCCTTGTAACGTAATTAAACATGGTAACATGTCTACACTTCGAAAGTTTTTTGGGCCGTTAAAAGTATAACCACCTGTCTGTTAATGTTAATTTTAACGAGAGCAACACGGCTTTACAAACTCATTTCACAGTCTGCTTTTGGATTTCATTTCATAGCGATACTTGTACTGTGTCACATACTGGGGCCGGTCGGGTAGCCCAGTGGTTAAAGCTTTCGCTCGTCACGCCGAAGACCCGGGTTCGATTCCCGACATGGGATCAATGTGTGAAGCCCATTTCTGGTGTCCCCCGCCGTGATATTGCTGGAAGATTGCTAAAAGCGGCGTAAAACCATACTCACTCACTCACTCACATACTGGGCCTGGTATCAACTAATGTGTGGCTAGACAGGGCAGAAATGCTTTTATTGATGAAGTTCGAGAAACAGGAACATTCGTGAGTTTTCAGTTTAGTTGGACTGTCTGTAATTGATTCTCCTCTGAAATGTAAGAAAGACCAGTATTAACCCCTTCCGTTCTCTATGACTTTGTTAAGCGATTTCATGTAAGAACGGACCGCCTCCGTGGTCTAGAGGAAGGTCCGGGGTTTGATCCCCGGCCGTGTCATACCAAAAGACGATAAAAGATGGTACTTGTTACCCTGTCTGGCGCTCGGCATTAAGGGTCTAAAACAAGGACAGGTCGGTTCGGTGTCAATGTACTGTATCTGAGTGGGGTATTCATGTTAAACTGGGGCATGGTATCTCAGTGAGCTAGCACTATAAATCGGCATCAGTCCGGACTAGTACAAGCAGCCACACACACACACCTGCATGCACGTCGTTATACAAGTGCAATAATCTTTGACGCGACGTTAAACCCAATTTCACCACACCTCACCTCACCTCACCTCACCTCACCTCATGTAAGAACGTCACATTTATGATCTCATTTTGCAACATATAGTCAAAATAAGAAACGCAACTCCTCAAAAACAAAAATGCATAACCAGAGTTTGGGTGTGTCAGGTAACACCTGTTGACTACACATCGGAACACTTGAGGAGTGATGACATAGTGGCAGACAGGACAACAAAGGACACGAAAAATAAATATGAAGACATTAAACAGTAAATGACAATGTCATGAGACCTCAGTATCTCCTCTGTCCACCTGATGATTGACAAAATGCGAGTTCGGATTACACGTTTGCGAGTCCATTCGGCCTGTAGAACATGTGAAATCTGTTCAAGTGTCTGTCAGACAAGGCCACGTGGATTGTGGTTCCGTAGGAATGCTGCTGTTATACGGTCTGGCATTGTCATGTTGAAGATGATTGTCATGTTAGTGAGTGAGTATGGTTTTACGCCGCTTTTAGCAATATTCCAGCAATATCACAGCAGGAGACACCAGAAATGGGCGTCACACATGGTTGTCATGTTAGTGAGTGAGTGTGGTTTTACGCCGCTTTTAGCCAAATTTCAGCTATCACGGCGGGGGACACCAGAAATTGGCTTCACACATGATTGTCATGTTAGTGAGTGAGTATGGTTTTACGCCGCTTTTAGCAATATTCCAGCAATACCACAGCAGGAGACACCAGAAATGGGCGTCACACATGATTGTCCTGTTAGTGAGTGAGTGTGGTTTTACGCCGCTTTTAGCCAAATTTCAGCAATATCACGGCGGGGGACACCAGAAATTGGCTTCACACATGATTGTCATGTTAGTGAGTGAGTATGGTATTTCGCCGCTTTTAGCAAAATTCAAGCAATATCACTGCCGGGGACACCAGAAATGGGCTTCACACATAATTGTCAAGTTAGCATCAGGATGCTTTCTGGCTTTGAAATAGGAGCGCGGAACCAATATGTTGCCTTGGCTTTCATCAGGTGTGATCTACCAGTGTAGGAGATTCCCCCACCGACCAGCTGTCCATCGCGGGATAGGTCATCTTATGTTTAACACTACAGGAATCGCAGTTGACGTCTAAACAACACTACTGACAGGCCGTCAAGCTCTGAGACAAGCCTCACGAAAACCTCCTTCTCAATCCCGGAATTGCTGCTGTTGTAGAGGATGGTGCTGTACGCGTTTGCCGCAAATGACGTAGCGGTATGAAAGTTCCTGGGTCGATCACGAAGCATACCATGTTCTTGGTACCGAAACCTATGCTCATGATGTCAATCACTGGATTGTTTGGTCAAGACTCGATTATTTACAGACCGCCGCCATATAGTTGGAATATTGCTGAGTACGGGGTTAAACACCAAAACAAATACTATCAGCAAATACTCACTTGCTTAGTCGCGATCCTGATGGACGCACACACAGTTGCCGAACAGCCTGTGACTGGTGTCTGTCACGCACTCAGTGTGACCGGAACAGTGTGGACACGTGACCTTACACACTCCATGACTTGCGCACTCGGGGAACTGGCCACATGACTCTCCCGTCGTCTGGCACCCTGCAGGGGGAACGCTACACGTACAGGACGCCACATACGCGGGTTTACATCAGTCAGTGTTAGCTAGAAGTAATGCGTCAGCCTGGTTCCCTGGGTATGATGCACTGGCGCCCAGTGTAGCGCCAGCGTAGCATACCCAGGGAACCAGGCTTGTAATGTGTTCGTAATACACTCTTCAAAAAAAGAAACGCACGGAAGATTTTTAGTAAATGTATTGTACCTAATAAAGTCGATATATTTAATTAAATATCATAGATACAAATATGAAATTTTGGATCTCAATAGTCACATGTTGTCGTTATACAAAGGCATTGAAATCTATTCATTGTCATGTCACATAAGGCCAGAAGGTTGCGCTGAACTCGTGTGACCGTCCCGGGCAGCAATCACGGCTCTGCATCTCCTCGGCACTGACTGGATAAGTGTACGAATTCTGTCCTGCGGAATTCTGCTCCATTCTGCTTGTAACGCGTTGGCCAGATGTGGGAGTGTCTGCGGCGTGTTCTGACGTTGACGTTCGAGTTCATCACCGAGGTGTTCGATTGGGTTGAGATCTGGAGATCTCGACGGCCAGGACAAACCGTTGATGTTGGCATTATGAAGGTAGTCGACAGTGACACGAGCTGTGTGCGGTGGAGCGTTGTCCTGTTGAAACAGCTCCCTCTGGCGGTCAATGATTGGAAGAAGGTGAGGTTGAAGAATTTGATTCATGTAGCGATCTGCTGTCAAATTTCCCTGAACCACAACCAAGTCAGATCTCGTGGTGTAGGATATGGCCCCTCACACCATGGCACTACCGCCACCGAATTCACTGTCGAATTCACGTACACAATGTGGGGCAAAACGCTCAATTCGGCGACGATAAACACGTTGTCTTCCATCTCGCCGGTGAAGAAGAAATCGTGATTCGTCGCTAAACCACACTCATCTCCAGTTTCTCAAATTCGAAGGCTGTAAGGTATGGCACCAACGCAAGTGTCGCTGTCGATGGATCTGTTGCAAAACAGGGATGAGTGAGTGAGTGAGTGAGTTGGGTTTAACGCCGCTTTTAACAGTATTCCAGTTATATCACGGCGTGTCAGCTTAATGTGGGAGGACAGCCCGAAGTGATGCAGGTCTCAGACGTTTACCACTTCGGTGAAACCCACGAGCACGGGTATGGTGCTGACAAACCTAGAAACATAATTGGGGCGAACCGGGATTCGAACCCACAATCATAGGTTTCTGGCGTGCCCAAGGGACCGCAACTCTGCACAGCGAATCGCGGCGCCTTAGACGACTGGGCCACCCGTGCCCCCAAAACAGGGATGATAAGCGAAGCCTCGCGAAGATGGTTCCTGACAGTCTGGTCCGATATCCTCCTCAAACCAGGGATGCGTCCAGCAGTCTCCGTAGCTGTGGCATTGTTATGGCGTAGGTGGAACAGTCGAATGTAGCGATTCTGTGCAGGGGTGGTAACTTTTGGTCGGCCGGTTCTCGGGCGGTCTGCAGTGGAATTGAACTGTGCGTATCGGTCCCAAAGGCGGCAAATGGTGCTGGGGTGGACGTTGAAGTGGCGTGCAACCGAAGACTGCGTTTCCCCTCTTTGGATACGTCCTATGGCAATGTTCCGATCGGCAGCGCTGAGTCTCGGCATTTTCAAAATTGAACAATGTTGACAATTGAATGACAACTTATTGGCTTATGCTTGCCTTTTTATAGCCACTACCACGAGTTACGAATGCCATAACTTGCACGCGCATTTTGCTTTATTGTTTTCCTCCATGGCATTTCTGAACAAGTGTGAAAACAATACCGTTTAAGACATTCAAATCGACAATCGCTGCGTTTTGACGGACCGTTTGTCGAATATCAGGCCATCAACATTTTCATATAACATATATCCAATTTATAAACCGGATTTTTTTGTGTAGTCAGGTTCAATGAACTACGTACTACCTGTGCGTTTCTTTTTTTGAAGAGTGTATATCAGTACAAAACCTGATTCGCCCCCCGTTTCCGTCATATAGGAACATATTGCAGAACTGCCACGGAAATTCAATTTTTAAAATGGCCAAGAGAAAAGTAAGAGCAACCATGAGTTACTTTTTAAAATATTTATTGTTTTTTTATCGAAGGGTTCATGCAACCAGATAGGAAAAATGCAGTCGTAAATATAATCTTCGAAAAAGGCAAGGGATACTCGGAAATAAATAAATATTTCCAAAGTTGTAATATATATATATATTCTGGTGTTATGGGGGCGGTCGGGTAGCCTAGTGGTTCAATTGTTCGCTCGTCACGCGGAAGACCCGGGTTCGATTCCCGACATGGGTACAATGTGTGAGGCCCATTTCTGGTGTCCCTCGCTGTTATATTGCTGGAATATTGCTAAAAGCGGCGTAAAACCATATTCACTCACTCACTCTGGTGTTATGACCGCCAACGATGTTGAAAGGCGATTGGGGTAAGACGGGAAATGTCAAAGTTGGCGTTCTTGGATCAGTAGTGCGTAATACCGCCACGATTTGTCAAACATTCATTACCTCGACGAGGCATACTGTGGAACAGTCTTTCTAAGTCTTTGCCAAGTTCAGCCAACGTGGTCGGCGACCTTTGACTTTGACGCACACGTCTCGCTATCGTGTGGCCATGGCCTTCTTTGGAAGGTGTGCTGCTCGATGTAAGCACTGACGATTTGTGCACTGTGAGCTCCTGAAAGGCAAAACGTCGACTCACACGCCTTGCAAACGGGACAGCAAAGGGTGTTAGTATGTTGTCCCGACAGCACTGTCCAGTGACCGTCCCTGCACTATAAGAAGTGGGGTTCGGTCAGTCACAGAGATGCCACCCCACACCATAACCGATCCACCGCCCAATCTGTCATGATTTCTCAAATTGATTTGGCCAAACACGACCACGTCTGTCAAGGAAGTACAAAATGAATCGGGACTCATCTGAAACCTTGGCGCGTGGCCAGCGACGATTACACCAGTGTCGACGTATGTTGGCAATATGTCGACTTGTAAGGGACTGCACAACACGTGGCGGACGAGCATGGAGATTAGCTTCATGTCACGATTTCTAATCGTCTGACCCGTAACTCGTACTCCAGAAGCCTGAAGAACGTTTGCAGCAGTTTGATTCGCCTTTTGAGCTTGATTTCGTAGAGCCTAGTTTCGGATCTACCGATCCCGTACTCTTGTTGTTGACCTGGGACGCCCCGAAGAGGGTCGATCCTTAACATTTTGCATGTGTTTGTACCTGTTCCATAGTCTGTTAATCACAGATTGTGACACATGGAACGTATTGGCCACTGCACGCTGACTTCTGCCAGTTTCCAGCACGCCAATACCCCGTAGACGCCCCGTGCGGACGTCAGATCGCCAGTTCATACACAAACAATGAACAAAATCAAGTAAATCACAACGGTATGCTAAGCACTATCAATAAGATTCACAGAATTAATTATTCACAGTGATTAATCGACCTTCCTTGAAAGTGTCAAAATCAGGAATGACGCCCTATGCACGTGTTTGGCGCTTTGCGTGAGGCACGTACAAATTATAGGACGTGTCTTGGTGTTAAGTATTTCAAACATAACGTTCTTGCATAGGATGTTAGTCGTCAACACTTATCTTTGTTCTAATACTTGGTATTAACATTATATTTCGTGATCCCCTACTTTTTTAAAGAGTAAATAACAGGCAGTTATAGGAATCATATTAAACCCCATTTCACCTCACCTCACCTACCACCCATACCCCACCCACATACTTACAGGCAACCTGTGCTGCCACCAGCAGACAGACAAACACAAGTAGAACTGCCTTCATGACGATCAAACAACACCTGGGAAAATCACATAAATCGGTTAAACTTGTACTGAACCCTAACGTTATCTACACATAATGTGCCATAGTTCACTGACATTTATTGGACGGCCAGATATTACACAGATAGAACTACACTGATTAAAAAAGTTCATGAACTATTTTTATATGTAAAATATGAAATTGTGTGCCGAGTCTTCACTACAAAACATATCCCCCCAAATATTCACAATGCACTGTTTTGTTCAGTTTAGTAAATCCGCTTTGCGGAAACACAACACAGTAGGCGATAGAGGGAGGGGGTACTGTCACGTGTGTGTTTGTTATTACCCCGCACTCGGTAATATTCCAGCTATATGACGGCGGCCTGTAAATAGTCGATTCTGGACCAGACAATCCAGTGACTAACATCTGAAGCATCGTTATACGCAATTTGGATACAATGACATACATCAGCCAAGACAGCCATCTTTGACCACCTGACCAGCGATGCTGACCACCTGCTGAAGACCAATTTTAACCCGGACGGATGTCCACGGATGGTGGTGGTGGTGGTGGTGGTGGCGTGTGTGTGTGTGTGTGTGTGTGTGTGTGTGTGTGTGGGTGTGTGTGGGTGTGTGTGGGTGGTGGGGTTGAGGTGTGTGGATGTGTGTGTGGGTGGTGTGGGTGTGGCGGTGGTGGTGGTGGTGTGGGTGTGTGGTGGGGATGGTGGGGTCGTGTGTGTGGGGGTGGTGTGGGGTTGTGGGTGTGTGTGTGTGTGTGTGGGGGGGGGGGGTGATGATGTGTGAATAGTGATAACGGGTAAGTGAGTGAGTATGGTTTTACGCCGCTTTTAGTGGGCTCCACACACAGTGTACCCACATCGAACCCGGGTCTTCGGCGTGACGAGCAAACGCTTTAACCACTGGGCTACCCCAACGCCCCAAATAATAATAATAATAATGGTGGTGGTGGGTGGTGTATAACTAAACTTAATACCACACATCAGGTAGTGGTGTTGGGTCAAAAATGGAAAGCAGAAACAACTCATTCACATGCACCTATCCCAGCCAGTCGTTATCAGACATCTCACACCAACTCTCCATGTGTTGTTTTCTCAACATATAGTTGATTTACTTCTGTATATATATATATAACTATCTATGCAGCGGGTGTGCCGTCTCATTGGACTACGTGTGTGTGGTGTAGATAAGCGATAACGATTCTCATGAAGTCCAAGCTACTAGACCATTGTGAATCTAATAGTGTCAGTGTGTAGAAAGACTACTTCGAACAATCGAAAGATTTGAGTAATCTCTCCGACTTAAGCCACATTTGGTTGATATCAGATGTCTCTATGATTTGTATAACGACCTATACATGCGTCAGTTTTACTTTACTTGTCAAAATGTACGTCCAGACTGGTTCAGAATCGACTTCAAGCCTTCATCCGGGCACCACGTCACTATGTCAATAACCGGAAGCTTCCTGTACATCAACAGATCCATCCTATTCCAGCTATATGACGGCGGTCTGTAAATAATCGAGTCTGGACCAGACAATCCAGTGATTGATATCATGAGCATCGATCCATGCAGTTGGGATACGATGACATGCATCAACCAAGTCAGCGAGCCTGACCACCCGATCCCATTAGTCGCCTCTTACGACAAGCACAGTCGCCTTCTACGGCAAACATTGGTTGCTGAAGACCTATTCTACCCCGGATCTTCACGGGTCCCGACATGTATATAGTAATAATAAAAGATGGTTGGTCTAGAGAGTATGCAAGAGAAACCGACATGTATTCATGGCAAGCAGTATTATTTATAGAGAGAGTCTCTGTATACTGATATTGAAAGATGGTTACCGTCGAACACCTAGAGAACATGCCAAAGACATGACAATGTTGGAGATTGGTGACCGGGGTAGAATAGATCTTCAGCAACCAATGCTTGCCATAAGAGGCGACTGTGCTTGTCGTAAGGTGCGACTAACGGGATCGGGTGGTCAGGCTCGCTGACTTGGTGGATGCATGCCATCGATCCCAATTGCGTGGATCGATGCTCATGATGTCAATGACTGGATTGCCTGGTCAAGACTCGATTATTTACAGACCGCCGTCATATAGCTGGAATATTGCAGGGTGCGGATATAAACAACAAATAAACCAACAAACTATATGTCGGTGTCTATTGCATACTCTTTAGAAGATCAACCGTCTGCAATACCTCGATTAATATCGCAGTGAAGTATCAACCTGTCAAAGCCAGGTATTTCATTAATTGTATGTATACTGTGATATCAAGTCGCGTTTAACACCATTGGTAACTTTTTGATCGGATTTTAACCCATTGTACTTGTATTGTGTAAAACTAACCAAATATATACTGTGCAGCAAAAGAACTAAAATTCTCAGTTTATTTTATCATATACTCTGCAAAAAAGAAACGCAAAAGTGAATTTATATTTTATATATCATTTAAATAATCAACAGTTGGTAATCGATTGTTCAAAATTGGCTCACATCATTGTCATTGACCTTGGCTCCATGTGGAACACATGGAACAGTAGATTTCCAAGGTAAAGGTCTTCTGTTTTCAATATCTGGTATAGCCACCATTCAAGTCCTAACCTGACTGGCATCGTCGTCCAATGGAAGGAATCAGATCCCGAATTGTGGCCTTGGGAATGTTCTCCCACTCTGCCTGCAGTGCTTGTGCAAACTGTTGTTGCTGACGTGCTCGCAGGCGTTGACCCAGTGCATCCTATAAATGTTCGATTGGGTTTAAGTCTGGAGACCTGAAGGGTTATAGCAGGACCTGGATGTTGTGATTCCTGAAAATGCTGTTGTCAGTCTTGCCGTGTAAGGTCGAGCGTTGTCTTGTTGGAAAACGACGTTCGCTTGTTACATAATGGGAAGGATGTGTGGCCGAAGAATCTCATCCGTGTAACGTTGTGCCGTTAAAGTCCCAAGAACTTGCACAAAGTCTGTTCTACCAGTGTAGGCGATGTCTGCCCACATCATCACACTACCACCACCAAATCTGTCCACTTCCCGGTTTTCAGTTTCGTGCATAACGTTCCACGCTATGAACACTACGTCTACCATCCGCATGGAGACGCATAAAACGTGACTCGTCACTGAACCAAGCTTGTCTCCATCGCAGTTGTGGCCATACTCTGTGACCTTGAAACCGTCGCAGCCGATGATGCAGATCCGTCAAAATGACCCCTTTAACTGGTCATTTCGCGCGAATACATTCAGCACGTAAAGCACGTTCCTCAATGTCCGGGCTGATATCCCAGTACCTTATTCTTTCCACGCATATCAATCCCAATCCATGCAGAAATGACCATTCATTTTTGGTATTAACTTTGTGTGCATGTCTCTGTCAGATATTTACGATTTTACTACTTATGCGTGTGTGTGTTTTTTTGCAGAGTAAATGTTTGATTTTCAGTTGAAAATGTGTTAAGTTAGCGATATTATATCCCAAAAAGTGAATTGTTCTGGCGCTTAGTCAGCATTCAAAGTGAGTGAGTTAACATCGCATCGGCATTATTTCAGCCATATAGCGACTGAAGTAAGACGAGTTCTATGGATGAACAACTTCTTTATTACAATTAGTGCGACGTTTCGGTGTAGATCCTAACACCTTTATCAAGCAAGTGATAAATAGTGCTAAACAATATAGGTATATATACTTATTAACATCAGAGTTTATACAGTAAATTGATTGATAGACACAGAGAGCTGATTAAGATAATTGGAAGCCAGTGGATGACTAATGGACACAGAGTCAGCAAGCAGACTGATAGAGATGATGGAAGCCAGTGGATTAATTGGATGGACATAGGGATTTAGCAATTAGGTGATGGTAAGCAGGCGGGATGTAATAGCGACTCTTCATGGTTATATTTTTTTACTTTAAAAAACCAGAAAAGATTTTTTCGCACAAAACGCAACCGCTGATAGGTACTTTATACATCTTATCTGTGAAGGTAAATAAATTCGCTTTTTGTGGCACAAATTTATAACATTTTATACATGGTAGGGGTCACGTGGTTGCAAATTCATTTCTTATCTCAGTTTTCATTGAACCAATTTAGTTTTGAAACAGCATTAATAAGCAACAGACTGCTTTTTACAAACTATTGCAGGAATGCGTGATGGTTATATAGACATAATCCAATTTAACAATTACATAAGAAACAAAATCGGTATACTTTCTTTTCCCCCTCAGTTTTCTAAGGCTCGACAAAAGAGTGAGTGAGTGAGTTTGGTTTTACGCCGCTTTTAGCAATATTCCAGCAATATCACGGCGGGGGACACCAGAAATGGGCTTCACACTCGGGAAAAAGAAATAAAACCTTATTTTTAAATATTATTATTGTGATAAAGATTATGAAAAAAAATAATTGTTTGTTGTTTTACGTGGTGGTTAACACTAAAGTGTTTGTTTGTTGCCAAGTGCCGCACTGCGCAATGCTCCAGCCACATGACGGCGGCCTGTAAACAGTTGAGTCAAACAATCAGGTGATTGCTAAAATGAGCAATGGCCGACACCATCGGACGCCACGCTATCAACCAAGTCCCGACAAATTAAAGAAAACGCCTGTACGCGCTTCCTATAACGGCGACCAATATATAACTGTGTCTGGGACAGGAAGTCGTGTGGGATATTAGCATCTGCAAAAAGAAAAGAACGAAATATTTCAATCTTCAAAAACATTGACGTAATTTGTTACAAGTCGACCTAGAATTAAAACAAATAATTCCTGTTTGAGTGACCTTTTAAAGCTTATCCCTTCCATCGAGAGATAATTTCAGTTGAATGTTACCTTCAAACTCTTATCCAAGGATATTCTAAGGTCAGTTGAAAAACATGTGGAGCTAATTGGAGGTGCTGGGATCGGCTGACTTCCTTAGATAACACGACACTACGAAAACTTAATGGTGCCACTTTGTATATATCTCGTTACTGCGATTATATTTTCGTAATTTCGATTATTTTCTCGTTCGTTATTTCAAGTATATTTCAAAAACTCGAAATTTCAATTATTTTGTCACTGCTTCGATTATTTTCTCGTTATTTCGATTTTTTTTTGCTATTTCAATTATTTAAAAAAAATTTTAAGTATTTTCTCATTACTCGTTTTTACTCAAATTTTTTCTCAACTCGAAAAATAATTGAAATAACGAGAAAATAATCAAAGTAACCAGAAAAAATACAATTTCGAGAAAATAATTGAAGTGAAAAATTTCGAGTTTTTGAAATAAATTTGAAAGCAAGAAAATATAATCGAAATCACGATCAAAAGAACTCGAAGCAACGAGAAAATAATTCAATCACGAACAAACAAACGAAATAACGAGAAAAAACTGTAAGTAAAGTAAAGAGAAAGAGCTCGAAATTTCGAGTTTTTGAGATAAACTTGAAATAAAGAGAAAATAGTCAAAGTAACGAGAGAAAAAATTCTAATTTCGAGATAATATCCGAAGTAACAAGACAAAAGTCGAAATTTTGATCTTTTGAAATAACTTGTAATAACGAGAAAACAATCGAAGTAACGAGAATAAAAAACATTATTTCGAAAACATAATGAAATGACGAAATAAAAAAAAGAAATTTCGAGTTTCTGAAGTGAACTTTAAAGCACGAGAAAATAATCAAAACTACGAGAAAATAAAATCAAAGTAACGATAAAAAAACACCTCAAAGCAACGAGAAAATAATCAATATAACGAGAAAATATTCGATATTACGAGAAAAAAAAATTCCAAATTCGAGGTTTTGAGATGAACTTGAAATAACAAGAAAAAATTCGTTATTTCGAGAAAATAATACAATAACGAGAATATAATCGCAGTAACGAGAAAAAACACGAAGACAAGAGAAAGAACTCGAATTTGAAGAAAATAATTGAAATAACCACAATTTCGATTTTTTTTTTTTAATGCAACCAGGTTGGCACCATCAGGCTTTCGTACGCTACAGCCCTATAAAAGGTGTCTCCGCGGGGTCACAGCATTACAGATTCAACATGAAGGCTATCTTTTTCCTCGCTCTGGCGTCCCTCTTTGTCCTTGGTGCCGTTGGTGAGCCCGTGTCTCCTTCTATTTAGACAACAATAAGATATTTATGTATTTATGGAAATCTTCGACCCAAGTTGATTTTCTTAGGACATTGTCTCTTTAAATTTAAATAACATCTTCCGATTTCAATTATTTGAGCCGTTGTTTTATATCGTTCATCATCCGAAAAGAAAGTGTAGTCCATTTGCACGTTTTAATACCAAAGTTTTCTGTAAATAATCAAGTATGATGTATTCAGTTGAAAAAGAGGAGACCTTATCCCAACTTGTCCTTTGCTTAGCAGGATTGTTGAGCATGCTCCAGAACAGTCAAAGTTGAGTTATTTGTCTTTGAAAGCATGCGAACAAGGGATCTTATGGTTTACGAACGAATGTTTCCGTATGCTTAAGTTTGTTGCACATTGAAATAGAAAATATTATCGGCCACGACAGGTACAGTTGACTGAGCTGGGACAGGTGGAGTTTTGATCAGTTGTGTGCCTCCTGACGTTGGTGTTATATGAGCTTTCTACATGACTGTTATCGGTTTCAGAAGCCCAGACTGGGTGTGGCCCCATCACAGTGTGTGTCGAGGACAGGATCTGCTCTCTCGAGTGTCCCGGATGTAATGGCACACCACATTGCGCACACACCGGCTTCCTCGGCCACTGCGAGTGTAACACCAGCTAGGGCCTCTAGCCTGGGTAGGTGTCCGACTGACTTCTCAGATAAAACACCCCCTACACCTGTCTCAGACAAAACACCCCCTACACCTGTCTCAGACAAAACACTCGACACAGGTGTGTCAGACAAAACACTCCCTACAGCTGTCTCAGACAAAACACTCTCTTAAGCTGTCTCAGACAAAACAGTCTGTGTATCGTCACACCATCAGACTAGAACTATGTATCGTCACACCATCAGACTAGAACAATGTATCGTCACACCATCAGACTAGAACTATATATCGTCACACCATCAGAGTAGATCTATGTATCGTCACACCATCAGACTAGAACTATGTTTCGTCATACCATCAGACTAGAACTATGTATCGTCACACCATCAGACTAGAACTATGTATCGTCACACCATCAGACTAGAACTATGTATCGTCACACCATCAGACTAGAACTATGTATCGTCACACCATCAGACTAGAACTATTTATTGTCATGCCATCAGACTAGAATGTTGTACCATCAGGCAAGAGTTTTGTATCGTCAAGCTATCGCGCTTAAGTTGTCATAAACTGTTCTCTATTTTCAGGTACGTTTTCTCTGATGGTGCCGGCAGACAAAGTGAATATTTGATGTACGAATGTACACAGAATAAATCCATGTCTCTGATGCAAATATGTGTAGTGTTGCTTCTGTGACAATTTTTATCAGGGCGACACGTTCAGTGCACCTAATGTCTTAATGGTTAATAGTGCACGTGCATCAAGTATAGGTGGGTTACACATGCAGTAAATCACGTACAGATGGGTGACACGTGCAGTGCACCAAGTACAAATGTGTTACACGTGCAGTGCACCAATTGTAGGTTGGTTACACGTGCAGTGCATCAAGTATAGATGGGTGACACGTGCAGTGCACTGCGAATAGTTTGGTTTCCCTTGTAGTTCACTAAGTTCAGATGGGTTTCATGTGCAGTGCACTAAGTTCAGATGGGTTTCATGTGCAGTGCACTTAGTTCAGATGAGTTACACGTGCAGTACATCAGGTACAGATGGGTTTCAGGTGCAGTACATCAAATACAGATGGGTTACACGTGCAGTGCAGTGAGTGTAGGTATCTTTCACTTGAAGAACAACAAGTTGATTGGGTTTCATGTGCAGTGCACTAAGTTCAGATGGGTTACACGTACAGTGCACCAAGTACAGATGAGTTACACATGCATTGCATCAAGTACAGATTTGTTACACGTTCAGTGCACTAATTGTAGATAGGTTACACGTGCAGTGCACAAAGTACAAATGAGTTGCACGGGCAGTGCATCAAGTACACATGGGTTACACTGCAATGCACTGATTGTAGATGGGTTACACGTGCACGTGCATCAAGTACAGATGGGTTACACGTGCACGAGCGTCAAGTACAGATTTCTAACACTTGCAGTGCACTAAGTGTAGGTGGGTTGCACGTGCACGTGCATCAAGTACAGATGGGTTACACGTGCACGTACATCAAGTACAAATAGGTCACACGTGCAGTGCACTGAGTGTAGGTGGGTTACACGTGCACGTGCATCAAGTACAGATCGGTTTCACGGGCAGTGCATTGAATGTAGGTGGGTTACACACGTAGTGCACCATGTGTAGTCTCAATATCTGCCGAAAAATGCAAAACAGTGATGAAAATAATATGAATGTTTCCCTGAAAATCAATATGACACCAGGTGTTCGCAAAAAGGGTTAGCGTGTCCAGTTGTACCGCACTCAGCAATACTCCAGCCACACGACGGCGGCCTGTAAACAACTGAATCTCAACCAGACAATCCAGTGCATGTCGGAGTACGCCGCCACGCTCCCAATCAAGTCACCGAGTCCGAACACCTGGGTACCGTTGTTCAAAACATCCTTAGCACTACGACTGTCGTAATTCTATGTTAAGGTACGGGAGCTACGATCACCTAAGCGCTGAGATTGCTTTGTACAAGGACACCCCGGTAAACTGAATAAGCGCCTGTGAGTAAGCGCTACACATCATGGCGACCTGTACATGATTGTGTCTGGGACAGGAAGTCACGTGGGACATTAGCATCTGCAAAAAGAAAAGAACGAAATATTTCAATCCTCGAAAACATTGATGTTGTAATTTGTAGAAAGTCGATTTGAATTTAAAACAAATAATTCATCTTTGTGTGGCCTTTAATCGTTAAATGCTAATCTCTTCCATCGAGAGATCATGTCGGTGAATGTTACCTTCAAAGAAGTTTTTCTAAGATACTACAGTTAAAAATTGCAGAGTACGCAATTTAGACTTATGTGTTAATTGGACGACCTGGGATAGGCTGACTTACTGAGATACCACGCTGCAACCATATAAAGGTGTCTCCGTGGGATCTGCACAGCACTGCAGATTTCGACATGAAGGCTATCTTTTTCCTCGCTCTGGCGTCCCTCTTTGTCCTTGGTGCCGTTGGTGAGTCCGTGTCTCCTTTTATTTAGACAATAAGAGATTTATGTATCTATGCTCGTTTAATTTGTTTTCTGCAGTTGTTGTATACATTGTTCATATGTACTGATACAATGTATAACAATGACGAATACCTTATTCTATAGTACTTATGGGATGGCTACAGACAGCCAATATGTAACAACGGTATTTGAAAGGCTAACCCATCATACAAGATGTTATAAGGGTCTTTTTACGATTTGAATTATTGAAATAATGAGCAAATGTTTGGAATCAGAATTTGTTATGAGGTGAGAGGAAATGGGTTTTAACGTCGCGTCAAAGATTATTACACGTCTGTAGTAGGGGCCTGAAGTTAGCAGCGGGTTCGTTATTCGTTATTCGTTTTTCGAATAACGAAAAACAAACCAGCACTGGGTTCGTTATTCAAAGGCTGTATATTAAACTACAGAAATGTGGTCAAATACACTGAAACTCATTTAATATATGACAGCAGGTTCGTCTTACATCATCATCAAAAAGCTGTTTAGTTATTCAGTACTTTTGAATAACGAAAAATTAAACTGCAGCATTTTAGTTTTCAGTTCATATCCAACAAATTGACGAATGTGAGGTAGTCTTATTTCTGTTCAAGCAGTTTTTAGTTACTAAGTGCTGTCCACCAACTGGAATCTAAACAGCACCACTCATCTTTTGTCAAAAACACTATTCAGTCGGATTCTTTCCGGCAGTTTATGGATGAATAATAACGAACTAAAAGGGGATAGATCAAACTGTATTCAATTTGTTTGTAGGAAAGGGTTATAATACCACTTACACTCTTGTATGATAATTTTCATTACAGTTAAATGTAGTGTGTTACCCAGACAGTATTTTCTATAAAATGTCTTTCGTAAGATTGCAGTTATGTTCATTCTATAGTTAAATTTGTTATAAAGTTATATACGTCACAATGCAAAACTGATCTATCTGACTGCTATAATACTTAATAGCAATGTATCTAAACAGACAATGTACAGTTATGTTTACTGAAGTCTTGAACTCTACTGAACAATAATCTAAGTTTACTGCACTATGCAAATAATTGTCTAGAACTGTGCAAACAAACGTGAGGTTAACGTGTCACCTATATGATGAATACAATCATGGGATCCATTCCAGGTCGTAGTCAACGATCAAAGTTACAAACCCAAACAAATCTAATGTCATAGTATCAGACATTCGGAGAGTAGTAAGACATCTTACTGCAGTTGTGTGATATGTCATCACCATTTACTGACCAGTCATGTAATAATGAAAACATAGATACATTGTAAGACTCTGTTCTATAGTGGGTGATGATGGACACTGACCAGAAGCGGTTTTTTTCTGTGGGAACGGATATAGGTGGTGTGGTTGCAGATACAGTGGCAGGGTCTACGTGCAGAGGCCACACTCATTATACAATTAGATTTTCCTATATTTGTTAATTTGACCTTAAATACAGTCAATATTTAATCAGGGCTACTTCTGCAAAGGGTTTCCCACAATTTAAGTCTTTATTGTAAATACGTTCATAAATAAAAACAATAGCAGATTCTTTATTCCATTTATTTATATGTTTTCTTGGACATGAACTGAATAACGAACCCGGTGCTGGTTAGTTTTCCTTATTCAAAAGTATTGAATAGCTTAACAGTTGTTGGGAGATTGACCATAGACTATCTTATATTTAATAGAATTGTTGGACATAAACTAAATAACGAACCCGGTATTTGAACACACTACTGTAGTTGTTTAATATACAGCCTTTGAATAACGAACCCGGTGCTGGCTTGTTTTTCGTTATTCGAAAAACGATTAACGAACCCACTGGAAATACGGTATCTTATACAATGTATTTGTTATACCAAGTCTGAATAACGAACCCGGTGCTGGTTTGTTTTTCGTTATTCAAAAGTACTGAATAACTAAACAGCTTTTGAATGATGATGTAAGACGAACCTGCTGTCATATATTAAATGAGTTTCAGTGTATTTGACCACATTACTGTAGTTTAATATACAGCCTTTGAATAACGAACCCGGTGCTGGCTTGTTTTTCGTTATTCGAAAAACGAATAACGAATAACGAATCCGCTGCTAACTTCAGGCCCCTTCTGTAGTGACGTAGTGCCATGAAAAGTTACCCCAGAGATATATATGTTATAAGGATTATACATTTTTGTATTTAACACTTGCATGTCATGGACACCAAGAAGAGACTGAAACGGCTCGACTAGGTTGATTTAAGAGGCTTTTAGGAATCGTTTTTTTATAGTATTTGAACATGGAAATCTTTGACCCTAGGTGATTTTCTGAAGATTTTTTCTCTTTAAAATTTAAATAACATCGGCCGTTTTCAATTATTTTTGCCATTCTTTTATATTGTTTATCATCCCAGAAGAAAGTATAGTCCATTTGTACGTTTTAGTACCACTATTTCAAAGATTTCTGTAAATAATCAAGTATGACGTTTTCAGTTGAAAAAGAGGAGACCTTATCCCTACTTGTCCTTTGCTTAGCAGGATTGTTGAGCATGCTCCAGAACAGTCAAAGTTGAGTTATTTGTCTTTGAAAGCATGCGAACAAGGGATCTTATGGTTTACGAACGAATGTTTCCGTATGATTTAATTAGTTTCATATTGAAATAGCAACATTATCTGGTACAAAAGGGACAGTAGGTAGACGGTGCTGGGATCCGTGGAGGTTTGATCAGTTGTGTGTCTTCTTACGTTGGTGTTAAATGAGCTCCCTTCCGGTTTCAGAAGCCCAGACTGGGTGTGGCATCATTAACGTATGTGTCGAGGACAGGGTCTGCGCCCTTGAGTGCCCCGGATGTAATGGCACCCCACGCTGCGTCCACACAGGCCTCATCGGCCAATGCCAATGTGACAGCACCTAGGACCGCTGGGTAGCCTGGGTAGGTGTCCGACTGACTTCTCACTACAGCTGTCTCAGTCAAAACACTCACTACAGCTGTCTCAGACAAAACACTCACTACAACTGTCTCAGACAAAACACTCAACGCAGCTGTCTCAGACAAATCACTCACAACAGCTGTCTCAGACAAAACACTCCACACAGCTGTCTCAGACAAAACACTCACTACAACTGTCTCAGACAAAACACTCCACACAGCTGTCTCAGACAAAACACTCACTACAACTGTGTCAGACAAAACACTCACTACAACTGTCTCAGACAAAACACTCCACACAGCTGTCTCAGACAAAACACTCACTACAGCTGTCTCAGACAAGACACTCACTACAGCTGTCTCAGACAAAACACTCACTACAACTGTCTCAGACAAAACACTCCACACAGCTGTCTCAGACAAAACACTCCACACAGCTGTCTCAGAAAAATCACTCACAACAGCTGTCTCAGGCAAGACACTCACTACAGCTGTCTCAGACAAAACACTCACTACAACTGTCTCAGACAAAACACTCCACACAGCTGTCTCAGACAAAACACTCCACACAGCTGTCTCAGACAAAACACTCCACACAGCCGTCTCAGACAAAACACTCCACACAGCTGTCTCAGGCAAGACACTCACTACAACTGTCTCAAACAAAACACTCACAACAGCTGTCTCAAAGAAAACACTCCCACGGTGGTCACAGACAAAACACTCACGTTGTACAGTCAAACCATCAAGTTAGAACTATGTATCGTCACACCATCAGGCTGGAAGTATGTATCGTCACACCATCAGACTAGAACTATGTATCGTCACACCATCAGACTAGAACTATGTATCGTCACACCATCAGACTAGAACTATGTATCGTCACACCATCAGACTGGAACTATGTTTCGTCACACCATCAGACTAGAACTATGTATCGTCACTCCATCAGGCTAGAACTATGTATCGTCACACCATCAGACTAGAACTATGTATCGTCACACCATCAGACTAGAACTATGTATCGTCACACCATCTGACTATAACAATGTATCGTCACACCATCAGACTAGAACTATGTATCGTCACACCATCAGACTAGAACTATGTATCGTCACACCATCTCACTATAACAATGTATCGTCACACCATCAGACTGGAACTATGTTTCGTCACACCATCAGACTAGAACTATGTATCGTCACTCCATCAGGCTAGAACTATGTATCGTCACACCATCAGACTAGAATTATGTATCGTCACACCATCAGACTAGAACTATGTATCGTCACACCATCTGACTATAACAATGTATCGTCACACCATCAGACTAGAACTATGTATCGTCACACCATCAGACTAGAACTATGTATCGTCACACCATCTCACTATAACAATGTATCGTCACACCATCAGACTAGAACTATGTATCGTCACACCATCAGACTAGAACTATGTATCGTCATTCCATCAGGCTAGAACTATGTATCGTCACACCATCAGACTAGAACTATGTATCGTCACACTATCAGACTAGAACTATGTATTGTCACACCATCAGACTAGAACTATGTATCGTCACACCATCAGACTAGAACTATGTATTGTCATACCATCAGACAAGAACGTTGTACCATCAGGCAAGAGTTGTGTATCGTCAAACTACCACGCTTGAGTTGTCATAAACTGTTCTCTATTTTCAGGTATGTTTTCTCTGATGGTGCCGGCAGACAAAGTGAATATTTGATGTACGAATGTACACAGAATAAATCCACGTCTCTGATGTAAATATGTGTAGTGTTGCTTCTGTGACAATTTTCATCAGGGCGACACGTTCAGTGTACCTAGGGTCTTAATGGTTAATAGTGCCCGTGCATCAAGTGTCGATGGGTTACTCATGCAGTAAATCACGTACAGATGGGTGACACGTGCAGTGCACCAAGTACAAATGTGTGACACATGCAGTGCACCAATTGTAGGTTGGTTACCCATGCAGTAAATCACGTACAGATGGGTGACACGTGCAGTGCACTGCGAATAGTTGGGTTTCACTAGTAGTGCACCAAGTTCAGATGGGTTTCATGTGCAGTGCACTTAGTTCAGATGAGTTCCACGTGCAGTACATTAGGTACAGATGGGTTTCAGGTGCAGTACATCAAATGCAGATGGGTTACACGTGCAGTGCAGTGAGTGTAGGTATCTTTCACTTGAAGTACACCAAGTCGATTGGGTTTCATGTGCAGTGCACCAAGTTCAGATGGGTTACCCGGGCAGTGCAATGAATGTAGGTGGGTTACACACGTAGTGCACCATGTGTAGTCTCAATATCTGCCGAAAAATGCAAAACAGTGATGAAAATAATATGAATGTTTCCCTGAAAATCAATATGACACCAGGTGTTCGCAAAAAGGGTTAGCGTGTCCAGTTGTACCGCATTCAGCAATACTCCAGCCACACGACGGCGGCCTGTAAACAACTGAATCTCAACCAGACAATCCAGTGCATGTCGGAGTACGCCGCCACGCTCCCAATCAAGTCACCGAGTCCGAACACCTGGGTACCGTTGTTTAAAACATCCTTAGCACTACGACTGTCGTAATTCTATGTTAAGGTACGGGAGCTACGATCACCTAAGCGCTGAGATTGCTTTGTACAAGGACACCCCGGTAAACTGAATAAGCGCCTGTGAGTAAGCGCTACACATCATGGCGACCTGTACATGATTGTGTCTGGGACAGGAAGTCACGTGGGACATTAGCATCTGCAAAAAGAAAAGAACGAAATATTTCAATCCTCGAAAACATTGATGTTGTAATTTGTAGAAAGTCGATTTGAATTTAAAACAAATAATTCATCTTTGTGTGGCCTTTAATCGTTAAATGCTAATCTCTTCCATCGAGAGATCATGTCGGTGAATGTTACCTTCAAAGAAGTTTTTCTAAGATACTACAGTTAAAAATTGCAGAGTACGCAATTTAGACTTATGTGTTAATTGGACGACCTGGGATAGGCTGACTTACTGAGATACCACGCTGCAACCATATAAAGGTGTCTCCGTGGGATCTGCACAGCACTGCAGATTTCGACATGAAGGCTACCTTTTTCCTCGCTCTGGCGTCCCTCTTTGTCCTTGGTGCCGTTGGTGAGTCCGTGTCTCCTTCTATTTAGACAATAAGAGATTTATGTATCTATGTTCGTTTAATTTGTTTTCTGCACAGTTGTTGTATACATTGTTCATATGTACTGATACAATGTATAACAATGACGAATACCTTATTCTATAGTACTTATGGGATGGCTACAGCAAGCGAACACGTAACAACGGTATTTGAAAGGCTAACCCATCATACAAGATGTTATAAGGGTCTTTTTACGATTTGAATTATTAAAATAATGAGCAAATGTTTGGAATCAGAATTTGTTATGAGGTGAGGGGAAATGGGTTTTAACGTCGCGTCAAAGATTATTACACATCTGTAGTGACGTATTGCCATGAAAAGTTACCAGAGATATATATGTTATAAGGATTATACATTTTGGTATTTAACACTTGCATGTTATGGACACCAAGAAGAGACTGACACGGCTCGACTAGGTTGATTAAAGAGGCTTTTAGGAATATTTTTTATAGTATTTGAACATGGAAATCTTTGACCCAAGTTGATTTTCTGAAAATATTTTCTCTTTAAATTTAAATAACATTGGCCGTTTTCAATTATTTTTGCCATTCTTTTATATTGTTTATCATCCCAGAAGAAAGTAAAGTCCATTTGTACGTTTTAGTACCACTATTTCAAAGATTTCTGTAAATAATCAAGTATGACGTTTTCAGTTGAAAAAGAGGAGACCTTATCCCTACTTGTCCTTTGCTTAGCAGGATTGTTGAGCATGCTCCAGAACAGTCAAAGTTGAATTATTTGTCTTTGAAAGCATGCGAACAAGGGATCTTATGGTTTACGAACGAATGTTTCCGTATGATTTAATTAGTTTCATATTGAAATAGCAACATTATCTGGCACAACAGGGACAGTAGGTAGACGGTGCTGGGGTCCGTGGAGGTTTGATCAGTTGTGTGTCTTCTTACGTTGGTGTTAAATGAGCTCCCTACCGGTTTCAGAAGCCCAGACTGGGTGTGGCCTCATTACCGTATGTGTCGAGGACAGGGTCTGCGCCCTTGAGTGCCCCGGATGTAGTGGCACCCCACGCTGCGTCATAACAGTCCTCCTCGGCCAATGCCAATGTGACAGCACCTAGGACCGCTGGGTAGCCTGGGTAGGTGTCCGACTGACTTCTCACTACAGCTGTCTCAGGCAAGACACTCACTACAACTGTCTCAGACAAAACACTCAACACAGCTGTCTCAGACAAAACACTCACAACAGCTGTCTCAGTCAAAACACTCCACACAGCTGTCTCAGACAAAACACTCCACACAACTGTCTCAGTCAAAACACTCCACACAGCTGTCTCAGGCAAGACACTCCACACAACTGTCTCAGACAAAACACTCCACACAGCTGTCTCAGACAAAACACTCCACACAGCTGTCTCAGACAAAACACTCCACACAGCTGTCTCAGCCAAGACACTCACAACAGCTGTCTCAAAGAAAACACTCCACACAGCTGTCTCAGACAAAACACTCAACACAGCTGTCTCAGACAAAACACTCCACACAGCTGTCTCAGTCAAAACACTCACAACAGCTGTCTCAGGCAAGACACTCACTACAACTGTCTCAGACAAAACACTCCACACAGCTGTCTCAGACAAAATAGTCACTACAGCTGCCTCAGGTGAGGTGAATTGGGATTTAACGTGGCGTCCAAGATTATTGCACTTATATAGCGACGTGCATGCACGCGCGTGTGTGTGTGGCTGCTTGTACTAGTCCGGACTTATGCCGATTTATAGTGCTAGCACACTGAGATACCATGCCGCAGTTTAACATGAATACGGCTGTCTCAAAGAAAACACTCACAACAGCTGTCTCAGACAAAACACTCCACACAGCTGTCTCAAAGAAAACACTCCACACAGTTGTCTCAGACAAAACACTCACAACAGCTGTCTCAGACAAAATACTCACAACAGCTGTCTCAGACAAAACACTCCACACAGTTGTCTCAGACAAAACACTCACAACAGCTGTCTCAGACAACACACCCACAACAGCTGTCTCCAACGAAACACTCCCACGGTGGTCACAGACAAAACACTCACGTTGTACAGTCAAACCATCAAGTTAGAACTATGTATCGTCACACCATCAGGTAAGAACTGTGTATCGTCACACCATCAGGCTGGGACTATGTATCGTCACACCATCAGACTAGAACGCTGTATCGTCACACCATCAGACTTGAACTATGTATCGTCACACCATCAGACTGGAACTATGTATCGTCACACCATCAGACTAGAACTATGTATCGTCACACCATCAGATTAGAACTATGTATCGTCACACCATCAGACTAGAACTATGTATCGTCACACCATCAGACTGGAACTATGTATCGTCACACCATCAGACTAGAACTATGTATCGTCACACCATCAGATTAGAACTATGTATCATCACACCATCAGACTGGAACTATGTATCGTCACACCATCAGATTAGAACTATATATCGTCACTCCATCAGGCTAGAACTATGTATCGTCACACCATCAGACTAGAACTATGTATCGCCACACCATCAGACTAGAACTATGTATCGTCACACCATCAGACTATAACAATGTATCGTCACACCATCAGACTAGAACAATGTATCGTCACACCATCAGACTAGAACAATGTATCGTCATTCCATCAGGCTAGAACTATGTATCGTCACACCATCAGACTAGAACTATGTATCGTCACACCATCAGACTAGAACTATGTATTGTCACACCATCAGACTAGAACTATGTATCGTCACACCACCAGGCTAGAACTATTTATAGTCATACCATCAGACAAGAACGTTGTACCATCAGGCAAGAGTTGTGTATCGTCAAGCTATCGCGCTTAAGTTGTCATAAACTGTTCTCTATTTTCAGGTACGTTTTCTCTGATGGTGCCGGCAGACAAAGTGAATATTTGATGTACGAATGTACACAGAATAAATCCACGTCTCTGATGTAAATATGTGTAGTGTTGCTTCTGTGACAATTTTCATCAGGGCGACACGTTCAGTGTACCTAGGGTCTTAATGGTTAATAGTGCCCGTGCATCAAGTGTCGATGGGTTACTCATGCAGTAAATCACGTATAGATGGGTGACAAGTGCAGTGCACCAAGTACAAATGTGTTACACATGCAGTGCACCAATTGTAGGTTGGTTTCACTAGTAGTGCACCAAGTTCAGATGGGTTTCATGTGCAGTGCACTTAGTTCAGATGAGTTACACGTGCAGTACATCAGGTACAGATGGGTTTCAGGTGCAGTACATCAAATACAGATGGGTTACACGTGCAGTGCAGTGAGTGTAGGTATCTTTCACTTGAAGTACACCAAGTCGATTGGGTTTCATGTGCAGTGCACCAAGTTCAGATGGGTTACACGTACAGTGCACCAAGTACAGATGAGTTACACGTGCATTGCATCAAGTACAGATTTGTTACACGTGCAGTGCACTAATTGTAGATAGGTTACACGTGCAGCGCACAAAGCACAAATGAGTTACATGTGCAGTGCATCAAGTTCAGATGGGTTACACTGCAGTGCACTGATTGTAGGTTGGTTACACGTGCACGTGCATCAAGTACAGATGGGTTACACGTGCACGTGCATCAAG